TTAAGGCATAAAATATCATAAAAACGTCATAGTATAGTAAGGTATAAATTGTCATAAAAATGTCATAGTATAGTAAGGTATAACATGTCATTAAAATGTCACAGCATAGTCACACATAAAATGTCATAAAAACATCATAGTATAGTAAGGTATAAAATGTCATACTATAGTAAGGTATAAAATGTCATAAAAACGTCATAGCATAGTCACACATATGTCATAAAAACATAGTATAGTAAGGAATAAAATGTCATAAAAACTTCATAGTATAGTAAGGTATAAAATGTCACAGTACAATAAGGCATAAAAATGTCATAGTATAGTAAGGTATAAAACGTCATAGTACAATAAGAATAAAATGTCATTGTATAGTAAGGAATAAAAACGTCACAAAAACGTCATAGTATAGTAAGGTATAAAATGTCATAGTATAGTAGGGAATGGAATGTAAGGTACAAAACGTCATAGTATAATAAGGCATAAAAATGTCATAAAAACGTCATAGTTTAGTAAGGTATAAAATGTCATAGTATAATAAGGTATAAAATGTCATAAAAATGTTAAGGTATCAAACGTCATAGTATAGCAGGGTATAAAATGTAATAGTATAGTATGGCATCAAATGTCATAAAAATGTCATAATATATTAAGGCACAAAATGCCATTAAAATTTCATATTATATTAAGGCATAAAATGTCATAGTATAGTAAGGCATGGAATATAAGGTATAAAACGTTATAGTATAATAAGGTATAAAATGTCATAAAAATGTTAAGGTATCCAACGTCATAGTATAGCAAGTCATAAAAATGTCAATAAAATCATAGCATAGTAAGGCATAAAATGTCATAAAACATTGTAGTATAGTAAGGCATAAAAATGTAATAAAAACGTCATAATACGGTAAGGTATAAAGTGTCATAGTATAATAAAGGCATAAAAACGTCTTTGTATAGTAAGGTATAAAATGTCAAAAACATCACAGTATAGTAAGGTATAAAATGTCACAAAAACTTCATAGTATAGTAAGGTATAAAATGTCAAAAACATCATAGTATAGTAAGTAATAAAATTTTATAAAAACATAGTGTAGTAAGGTATAAAATGTCATAAAAATGTCATAGTATATTAAGGCATAAAATGTCATTAAAATGTCATAGTATAGTCACACATAAAATTTCATAAAAACATTATAGTATAGTAAGGCATAAAATGTCATTAAAAAGTCATAGTATAGTCACACATAACATTTCATAAAAACATTATAGTATAGTAAGGCATAAAATGTCATAAAAACATAGCATAGTTAAAAATAAAATGAAATTAAAAACATTATAGTATAGTAAGGTATAAAATGTCAAAAACATCACAGTAAAATAAGGTATAAAATGTCACAAAAACGTCATAGTATAGTAAGGTATAAAGTGTCATAGTATAATAAAGGCATAAAAATGTCATAGTATAATAAGGAATAAAGATGTCATAGTATAGAAAGGCATGAAATGTCATAAAAATGTCACAGCATAGTCAGACATAAAAACGCCTAAGTATAGTAAGGCACAAAAACGTCATAGTAGAATAAGGGTAAAAAAAGTCATAGTATCATAGTATTGTGAGGTATATATAAAACAGGTTGTCGATCTTTTCACACAAATAATATTGAAAAACATCTACCTCCATAATTCAAAGGTAATTTTTCATTTGTGGAATTTGTTTGTGTATTTGCAACTCTGTTTTATATTTGCAAGATATTTATGTGAATTTGCAAACACAGTTTTTGTATTTGTGGAAGGTCTTTCATATTTACAGATTACACATTTATGCACGGATTGTTGATCACTTCACACAAATAATACAGAAACAAATCTACCTCCATAGACACTTTTCCAGCTGTTGGGTTGTGGTTTTGGAGGTAAAAAAAATTAGTCTTGGAAACTGTTTATCTTTTTTAGAGAAAGAAAATGCACACACGCAGAGTAATTATTACAACGAATTCAGCTCAAATACATATTTAGACATTCATATAAAATGTTTGGAAAGATGGAAAATGTGTCAGATCTCCATTTGTCTTTCTTTACACAAGAAAGCACAAATAAAGACTTCCAACACAGAAACAGAGGCACAACATGAGTGTTTGTAGTCCATAAAATATACCAAGAAAAGCATGCCTTGTGAGTAATATGGGGTCAAACATTTTTGAGGAGATTTCTTGGAGTAACACACCACAACCGCTGTTTAACTGCTGTACTGTGTTTAACTGGTAATTAGGCCCCTCAATGAATGCTCATTTGAAGGTGTTTTGTTTGACATACAAGGGCTATACTAAACTCTGAAGTCAGTGAAATGATATCTCCAGGAGTAAGATCTGTGATATGACGGCTGGTTTTCCCTCATTTTCTAGAGAAGTTTTAAGGGATAGGTCAATTTGAAGCATTAACTTCTTAACCAGAGAAGGACAAACTCATAGATTCCCTTTTATGTATCTGTTTGCAGCTCCAAGATATGCCCAAGGGTGAGTTGCTCATTTGCTAGATGGCTGCAGGATCACGTGTCTTTCTTCCATTTATCAGGAACAGGTTATATACACCTTTAACCTCTGCCCATACCTGATGGCTGGTCTAATTTAACCTCATGTACTGGTGATTCACATACTTACAAAGTCACTAATTTCACTTTTAACAGTGTAATTGTGAGTAAAATTACATAAAAATGACTGCATCTTGTTTATATGCAAGAAAGTCCAAGAAAGTGGGAACAGTAATTCTGAAAAAATAAATGTGATATACATCTTTGGATTTTGTATGCAAACAATTCTGTAAAAAGGTTTGCACTGTTGAATCCTTCAAACAAGAACAGCCGTACTGACCAGTAAAAAAAGAACAAAAGTTATTTCATGTGCCATGTTTACTAAATCAATTCATTTTGGTGACTGATCATTTAAATTTTTTTGTTGTCATGCATTTGTTTTTTTATGACATGGGACTGTGGATTTTATGTGTAGTCATGGAAACAAAACAGAGGAGGTGATCTACGACACCACTTACAATGCAGACCTGAGACCCATCCCTACCCATTCACACCATGACTTGTGACCCTAACAACTCACATGTGACCTCAACGACTCTAAAGATATTAATGCCCCCGCAAGAGGTTGAATACCTGGGACTTCCCATGACCTGGATGACTAGGAATCTTCACAGACATACTCATTGAAATGTAAAGAAAATGGTTAATCGCAGGCTAATGACTGTGTAACCCTTGTCTTCAATCAACAATAAATTTGTCTCACTCTGGCTTAGCAGGAATAAATTGGTATATTCACTGAAAAACTCTGAACTATCCCTTTAAAGCAACATTTGGCTTGCTGTGAAAGTAAGAACACACTCCTCATACTGTATTTTTTAATCACAGCTTTCCTTTCAAGTGGTCAGGGAGGCAGTGTTTTCTCCTTGCAACAACAGACAAGACTACTCTAAGTCAAGACATAAAAAAAACATTATGACTGGAATCAATTCATATAAAATAAATCTGGTTTGATGGATGAAGTAATGTCTCATCCATCAGCTACTTTTAGCACATGATATATCTTCAGGATGACTTGTCACAAGCTGTTAGATGTGTAATGTCCTTGTGATGGCCCAAGACAATGGACACATTAAGCTTCAAGGTCATCATCAGCATGAATATTCAAAGATGCCCAGTGTGTGTGTGTGTGTGTGTGAGACAGCATATTTTATTAGATCTGAATAAAGACAAACAGCTTCAGTCAGTGACACAGTTAACATCTTAATCCATCAGTGTGGACATGAATGTATAAACTTCACAGTGGAACAACTATAAAAGCCAGATTACTCTCCAGTTCTCTGAGAGCTTTATGAGAACAATAACCGCCTCAGAGCCGGCTGTCACTGTGAAAACAATATTTCAGTGGTTTATATTTAGAAAAGGTGGTTTATAAGATGGAAAGACTGGGCAGGGTTTGGACGGTTTAAGATGCTTATGTTAATAAATTAGCAAATAAAAAAAAAAAAAACTGAATGTCTGAATTAATTCTTCAGTAGTTGGTTGCTTTGAACAAATTATTTTTGTGAAATGACAGAATATAATTAATGCTCGGTTGCAAAAGGACCAATCAAGACAAATTAGGTCTAAATAAACAACAAAAGAATGTTTTTGTAAAGTCTGGATATTTTGTGTTTGGAAATGATTCCAGTCAAAATGTCATTTTGTCTGCCAGAATTTGACGTACTGTGTACACTGCATGTCTGCTTCTGTCTTCATTTGCCTACAGCACTGGTTCCCAAACTTCTTCTGTCTTAGCCCAAACAACTTTGGAAGCATGTGTCTCATTCATTCCTGTAATATTTTGTGTGTTTTGTGTCTAAAAACTCACAGCAGCTGAGGCAAAGTTGAGCATGAATTTTTCAGAAGGCTCTCCTGCTTTATTGACAGTGGACTTAAGAGCGGGTTAGAGTTCTATGTGTTTCTGACATTTTTTTACTCCTTGTATTTTAGTATGCTGTATGCTCAAGGTATCACTTGGCATTCAACTGGCATGAGAACATGTGTGTGTGTCTGGCTACATTCAGTGTGGTAACCCACACAACCTGTCTCTGTTCAGTTTGTGAGTGTTACTGCTGAGGCAACACTTTACTTGAGGTACCCCTGTTTAGCATTTACATGCAGTAGGCCAGATAAACATTTAATGGAGAATGTATAACACAGTATAATGTAGATGTAAGCAGATTTTATATTATTATAAGTGTTTAATTTATTTGTCAATAACTATAACTCCACCTATGGGCACCCATAAAGATAATGAATGACAGTAGAGTAAAACACAAAATATATATTAATGTATTTGTAGAAGTTATATTTAATTTAATTATTATAAAAATGTCTATTTGTACCATTTATTAAATGTTTGTATACTGCTTGTAAATGCTAAATAAGGGGTGTTAAAGTAAAGTGTTACAGATAGCAGTTGAATGATGCTCACCTCCAACATTGTATCCCAGACAGGAGTTCTGGTCACAGTATCCTGGTGGGCCAGCCGGTCCAGTGGCACCTGGATTCCCCGGCCTCCCCGCTGTCCCCGAGTTACCAGGTCGACCAGGTGGGCCCTGGCTGCCTGTCCGTCCTTCACCTGGCAGGCCTGAGGGTGGAAAGACAGGTGAGTGCAAAAAGTCACGTCATCAATAAACATTCAGTAAAACAACTCTGGCAGTGACACCTGGTTAGAAGGGATAAAGGAAGACAGAGAAAAGGGAGGAAAATAAACTGAAAATGTGCCATCCAGAGTACATGCTGTCACCTCAGTAACACCTCTGCACTCTCCTCTAAATCCCCCTCTGTGCTGCTGTAACAACATGACTTAAAAAAAATTAGGGGGAAACAAACGTTTGCTTGTCATTTCCGGATAAGGGAGATGATCGTGAATGTCCTGAGGGCAGGAGCAGGAATAACAGCTCTTGGCTGATATTTAGCCAGAGGCTTCTGTTTGCTGTTTACACAGACTCCCTTCAGCAGTCAGCAGAAATATGAAATCAGTATTTTTGAGGGTTTCATTTGCTAAGTGCTAAAATTAACATCCCAAAAATATTCCAGAAAAGCAATGTGGATGAATACAGGAAGCTTTGCCCTACACCTTTCTTTCAGAAGATATTTCCCTTCTCAAGCATTGAAGTTTGTGGATTTTTAAAAAGTTATCTGATCACAGAAAAGTTTCCAGGGAGTTCTGTCAGCTTGTTCTGTGAGTATTGATCGCACAACAGTAAACAGAAAATCCCAGCCCTGAGGAGGACATATTTTCATAACACAAAACTCAAACTCCGCACAGGGAAAATCAATACAGAGAATTATATTCATGGTCCAAAACGTCTGCTTGCTTTTCTCAGACAGATTCAACAGAGAGTAAATCCAAAACGGATTAAATCTCTGTGTCATTTAATTCTATTGTTTAAATATTTGACACATTTTTGGTTTTGTTCAGAAGGACCACAATGAAAAACATTCCACATACAGTAGCTCCAGTGTGGTCACAGGCTGAAGACACCAAAAACGAAATGGTTAGAACTGAATAATTATCAGATTTTAAAAAGTAGTTGCAGCACCTCCGAATGTTATCTGAGCATTGAGACTGCATTCAGTTCATTGTGCTTATCAAGCGCTCTCTCAGGACCATATCTGTATCTTACCTGGAGGTCCGGATGGTCCTCGAGGTCCCTGACTCCCAACCCCTGGATTCCCCCTCTCTCCCTTCTCTCCTGGCAGACCTGGAAGTACACACACAGTTTAAGAGATCCTCATTTAGGTGAAAGTCACATCTCACTTTTATACTTTTACTCCACCACATTTCAGAGGGAAGTATTGTATTTTAACTACATTTATGTGACAGCTGTAGTTACTTGTTATTTTTCAGATTAAGGTTTTACATAAAAAAAACATGTGAAAGCTTATAAAATAAAACTGTTTTAGAAATTTAAACCTTTTTTACTCATGACTCCTTCAGATGTCCATTTGTTATCAGACATGTTCCCTTAAACGTCACATGGTTTAATGTAATAACCGTTAAAGGCCAAACGAGGTCAAATTATCCAATATTCCATAAAAAGCAAAGATATAAGAAGAGTCCAAAATATGAATATGAATTTGTGCTGTTCGTGACCCCTCAGAATTTCTGAGTGGCCTAAGTCCTCGGCTAAAAATCACTGGACTAAACTACCTGTAAATAAAGTTTAAAAAAAAAAGAAGGTCCACTTCAACCAGCTGCAAAAGTGAAATGCGACCTCTGAACTGATGTATCAGTATTAACATCTAATAATGTCATGTATAATAATATGTCCATCACAGAAGTTTTCTGCAGACTGAGTACTTTTACTTTTAATACTTTGTAAGTTTGAATGCAGGACTTTCACTTGTAATGAAGTATCATTGCACCACTGTGCAATCCTATCATCTATATTACACTGCAAATCGCAATTGTAGAAAATGTGCTGGATAAATTGAGCTGGGATGATCAATCTAATAAAATGTATGATAAACCCAGAGCCGGCTCTGTGCTGCTGTCCAGTAGTGCAGCTGTTAGAATGACCTAATGGAATATTTTCTTCGTTCACTCTAATATTAGAGAACCACATAAAACTGTGATCTACAGATTTTCTGTCCTGCTGCTTTTATGACTGATTTCATCAGTTGTATCGGTAAAGAGGAACTAAGCACAATGAAGCTGAGGAGAAAACATTTTACAGCACCTCAAATGAAAATTTATTCTCTACAGTGATGGCATCGTCTCTCTCTGTTGAGGACAATATTTTATATGGAATCTAGTTTGTTAATTGACCCTCTTCTGACCCAAAGCCTAGCTTTGTTCCTGATTCTTGTATCAGCCCTACATGGACCATCTGCGATAGTAGCAACATACAGTATGTAATTTTCTTACATAAAGCATACATCTTCTGTAATATCTGGCGGACTCTGGTTTCAGTTCAGCCTGTAAAACAGTAATGTAATGTGTGAGAGTGTGTGTGTGTGTGTGTTGTGTCTGGCTGCAGATCATAAATGTTATTGGGGAGAATCAAAGGTCTGAAATATGGAGGAGGACGTAACCATGCTGGACATTTCCTGACAGAACCTGCTCTCAGCTTTCCTAACCCTGTGTGTGTGTGCAGGCTCATCCAGTGTGTGGTTCATCAGTGTTGGTTGCATGTTTTAGTGATGAAGACGGAGCCTCATAAAGGCTGTTTCTCGTCTAAGGGCTCGTGGCAGGGGAATGACCTCATGGATATTGGAGTTACTGTCTTCTGATGTGGACTGACCCTCACTGTGAGTTTGTCTGGTGAGTCAAAAAGCAAGCCAAACCATGAAATACAGCAAACAAGCAGGCAGGTTGAAGCTCACACTGGAGAAATGGACAATTTGTCTATTCTTTTCACAATAAAAGCCCCTAGCTGACAAGGAAAATGCACCACTTTACATACATAATGCATGTAATTATTTTACAACCACACTGCTCTCACCAGCTGGACGCTCCTGTTCAACATACAGATTTATCACAAAACCACAGGTTTAGACAGTCATATCACAAAAAATACCTTTATCCAAATAACTGGCTCTGGCCGAGGAGGTACCTTTTATTATGTGCCATTTATTCAAGACACAGCAACAGGAAAAGTAGAGATGGAAGTGAAAATGAAATTTTGCTGACGCTGACTCAAGTGACATCCTTTAAGGCAATTTATCAGACTTCACTCAGCTCCCTCTGGAGCCACAAAAAGCTTTAACTTTTCCACATACGCTGTTGTACTCCAAGACCTATAATGAGACTTTAATGTGTAAAATCAGTGGAGTTAGATAAAGAGATTTCAACTTCCAAAAAAATTATCCCTTTTCATTTGTAAGGTATGACAGAAAACCCAAACGTTGGGGTGTCTTGGTATTCAAAGAGTTTAAGGCGCCGACCATGATCCACAACCATATATTATTAGTGATTCTAGTGCAGAGGAAGATTTTTTCACAGTTTTTGAGAATCACCAGCTCACTGCAGTGAGGTCTGACTAATAAATACCCAGGTGTCTTCCCCTCTTTCACTGCTAATATAAACATTAGCATGTAGTTAAAGTGTCTTGACACAACCCAGACAGTGAAGGACTGATGGTGGACTGTGATCACTCTGTGTATTACAGAGAATTTAAGATTTATATAGATGGATATTGCAAAGTGTATTTTCCTGTCAGTCTTGGCCTGGACACATGTTGTCCTATGTTACTCATAAACACATCTTCCTCTCTCACCTCTCTCCCCAGGTCTTCCGTTCTGGCCACTGGTACCAGGGAAGCCAGGTCTGCCGGACGGACCTTGCTCTCCCTGAGGTCCTGGGGCACCTCTCCTTCCTGGCTCCCCTGGTGGTCCGGGTACTGTTCGGACCGACACCGCAGACTGGACAGGGATCTGGTTCAGTATAGAGTTATAACGAGACAAGTGGCCTGCAAGAGAGGGAAAATGGTTTGAAATGATGTCATTTACCTTTTGGGTGTCTTGGGACAGTTTTTGCTTGGTTTTTTTTGTTAGTTTTTTTTGTTTTGGGTGTTGTTTAAGCCCAAATCAGATCAAGATCTAATAATATAATTAAACTTTTGCGAGAAGAGGTCAGACACATGTTGAACAAAGTCTCATGCTCATGTTAATGTGTAAACACCACTGATCACTCACTCTGGATGAGTTGTTCACACACTTGCCGTGCGATGGCTCGAACAGCAGCTTGGGATTGCACATCACCCTTAGGAATAAACAACACACAAAGAGCTGTTAGGATGTGATATTACCCAACCACACAGTAGACTGATACCACTTTTCTATTTGAGCAACCACAGGAAAATAAACTTCCAGACCAGTGGTTGATAAATTGGTGGGTGTGTGTTTTGTGGGTATTTTTATGAGCACACTCCACCTTTATTCCACACGCTGACGCCCCTTATATTTATATTGGCTAAAACAGATAGCTGAGAGCAAAGCAGAGGCTATCTATAAATTACACAATAAAAATTATACAATATAAATCAAAATTTAATCAGATAAAGATCTGGGCATAACTCTGTTGAGTTTGACTGTGCCTCCACTAAATTTTAAATCAACATTTTTACTGCAGTTGAAAGGAACAGTGGGAAAAGTATCAACAAATGCATCAAACTGAACTGCTGCTGTCTCTATTTGACAGTGTTAAGACCCCGTCTGGTCAGGATTTCAAAGGGATAGGTCACCCACTGCAAAAAGCTTTATATGACTTAGTATGTGGTACAGTAATGGTTGGAAAGTACCTAAATGTCTTTATGGGCATCTGCACTGCCTTAGACCAAGTAGAACTGTTCTGTATGACTGACAGAGGTGGTGATTCTTTGGACTGGACTATCTAGCCTTACTATATATTTAACTTAGGATCTAGTGCCTTGAAACTGCAGTTGGAACTGAGTTGATAACCTGAACGGTTTCTAACTTTTGTGCTTTTCAGATATAAGTTGTAACTGGATCCTTAAATCCATTTAAAAAAAGGTACTGTACTTGACATGAGAGGTAAACTGTAAGTAAAAGCTGTGTAATTTCTTCTGTGGCTTTGAAGGAGCTTTCCAAAATAAAAAAAAAAAAATGTCATCTCATAAAAGACGCTACTGAGATGCATTAGGAAATGTAGGATCCAGTGTTTACAAGAGACTAAAAGTCAGGATATCTCAGCCACTGTTGCTTTGATTGTCGCTTTGACCACTCTTTCTTTAAACGTGTCTTTGACAAGTTCTCCAGCTCTATAGAAGTGCAACACTAAATCACAGATATACACCTTTAAAATAATCCATAGAAAAGATACTGATTTTGAGCTATTCAGTTGGCACTAGACCCTTATTGTTAAATCTGCCACTTGAGTTGGGATTTGTGCTTTAAGACATTAAAGCTCACTTGGTTACATCTCTAATATAAGATGTTTGTATGGTAACAGTCAAAAGTACAGTTGCTTAAATCAAAGTGCTCTCACTGCTTAACCAGTGTTTATAATGAATTCAACAGCTGGTAGTCTCCTCTTTTGCTCTGTAATCATCATCATCATTCAGTCATTTGATGCGACATCTATTACTGTGAATGTATATAAGAATACATCAGGAAAAAAGCCTTACAAAAAAATGTTTACTTTTCCCCTGTGCAGTTATTACTGTCTGAAACACTCGGTCTGTGACTCTTTCTAACCAGCTTTATTCAAAACTGGACAACCCCCCCACAAATGTACAACACAGAGGAGAAAATCCTTTCATGTATTTTTTTTCCTGAGTCTTTCATGTTGAGCCCTGCACTGAAAATTAACTGCAGGTAGGTACAAATGTCCCCAACAGTTGATAAAAATGAAGCAGAGACTGAAATTATAGGTTTGATTCAAGTTGGCAAGTTGCGTGTCTCTCAAGCCCTCGGCAGTGATGGCCTCGCTACTGTGTCAGCAAAAATAGCTCCACTGCAAATCTGAACCATGAACACTGATTTGATTTGGTTTGCTCTAAACGAGGTTGAGGGAGCGAAGAGAGAGAAATAAAGTGAATGTTTGTGCAAAAGACGAACGAGAAACAGTAAACGTGTACTGGAAAGTAATTGGTTTCTTCAAAACAAGGGTGTGGAGTATTAGTGAGAAATTGTCGGCATTTTACTTCAGTGAAATAACAATATTTCCACAGTAAAATGGAGCAGTAAAACTTGATTTGCTCTAAACAGTGGTTGAGGTGTGTGAGTGGAATGACTTACTCTTTCTCCCTTATCCCCTTTGCTACCAGCAGGGCCCTGGAACATAAAAGCACAGGAGGAGAATAAACATTCGACTGGGATATCTACTCAGAAAAAGCCATGCTCATCTCTCGCTCACTCTCTCCTTTAATGCCTGCGCCCCCTTACTCACCATCTCTCTTTACCATTTTCCATATGCCTCTTCAAACACACAACCTTTCAATACTCTGATCTGACAGCTGGTATAACTAGATGCATTTAAATGTTGACAATGTGTGTCCAGGTTCTTTGTGTCATAAAGACTACACATAAGCCAGTGTGCCCACAAACAAAGCACAATGTCTGCGCCTTGGCTGGGTTTGCTTACTGCTACTGCCAACACCGTAAAGCAGACAGATGCATATCTGATCATCACACACACACACACACACAAACACACACACACACACACACACACACACACACACACACCAATATGCCAAGCACATAAAGCCTGTGCATGCATATCAGACTGTAATGCATTATAATCCAGAGGAAATAAAAGACAAATACTTCCTGGCCATAGAACCATGTGCTGATATGATAAATATCAGTTTGATGTTGTTACAGCTTTTGAATAAAGCTTTGTTTATCTTGGGGGAAACATGTCCTTGACCACTGACTGACTGTGTGTGTGTGTTGGTGGATAGAGAGGGATAGAGAAAATGTGTGTGTAGCTCTGGCATATCATATGCATATTATATTGCAGATGATAGAAAGCCTGTGCCAACATTTGACACAGCCGTTGAATTGGAGCGCAGGTCTCCACAATAAAAGTCTTCTACTGGATCTCCTTTGTGTGTCAGTCTGGATCTCTTGAGTCTTAGTGGGCACATAAATGTCTGCTCTCTTATCAGGGTGACATGGAAAAACAAAATCAAACTGTGATGGAGCCAAAGTAAGTATCTGGGCATCAGAAAGAGCGACATTCTCTCTCATAAAAATCTGATTTCTGTTATTATTTTATCAAAACTATCTTCCCACAGTGCCCTGTATATGTATAGTCTGTCCAAAGTACAGAGTAGATGTTTTCTCTATCAAAATGTTTTACAGTTTATCCACAGAGGGAAGTACATTTATGATGACTTTCCTCTTCCACAGCCCTTCGATGTGGAATGATAAAACGGTCAAACATTGTTATTTTTTTCTTTTGTAACTGGCAGCTCACTACCAAGTCAAGCAAGATAAATTAAAAAACCCTCAGGTGGTTGACTCATTGGAAAAGAACATTCAGAAGCAGTATTTTGTCCAGGATAGACACACACTTGGACTCATAGCCACACACCCAGGACATCACCAAGTGCTGTGACAACCTGACCGACTTATGAGGCCAGCTGTTCAATACAGAGGTATGCACATCTGTTGACAACAGCGGTGAATTTTGGGATAATTATGGGACAAAGAAAAAGCAGGTAAACTAAAGTTTATAATTCAAACACCTAATCAAAGTTGGTTTTAGCTGCTACATCCGTCACATCTGGCTCATCACGACTATGACAGCTTGGACCAGTTGACTAGAGATTTTAGATTTTGCAAAGACCTGTACAATAATATAAAAATAAAAAAATGTTTTGTCCTGTTCCATGTGTTGTCCACAAAGTTTCATGAATATTGATCTTGATAGATAGAGCATAACATTTCCAGATGTATTGTGTCGTTCCTGAAACAGAAAAGTTTGGTTCCACATTAGATGCCAGCACATCAAGTCAAGGATTTGACAGCGCTTGAAGTCCTGCTGCTGAATCTTTATGCTCTATCTGGCCTCAGGTGGTATAAATCCACTGTCCTTCAACATATTTCTCAGTGTAGAGTTACTTTTGTGCCCACACCACCAAAACTGTTAGGAACAACTTCCTCAAGGTTTCTTAAGGTCACCTGCGACACGATGAAGCAAAATGTTATATTTCCCTGCAGATTAAATGGTTGCTATTCCTGATAAAAAAAACCACTTGTTTAAAGGGGAAAATGTTCTTTTGCGGCAGCAACCTGGAGACGGGTTGAGGGGAGGAGAAGAAGAACTGAATCAGCAACTTAAAGCTGAGGTGAAGTTTAAAACTTAAACTCTAAGTAGTTTTTGTTGTTTTGTTTTTTTCCTTCTGAATTCATTCATTTATTTCTCTATATTTTTCTACATTGATGTACTGGAGTCTGACTCCATAATATAAAAAATGCTCCACATCTTCCTGTATTCTGAAAACAATAATATGTGTCCGACAAACCTTTCAAAAACTAATACAAATTAAAATTCCAAAACAACTTTAGTATTAGTAGTTTAATAGATTAAAACTCCAGATATTCTGTTGCAGTCATGCATTAGCTGCATTCACATGGGGGATCTGTGTCTGTTGAAGTCTCAGAGATGAGGCAGATGTGATCTCTCATTGGTTTTTTTTTTGGCTTGCGTGTCTGTGTCTGTGTCTGTGTGTGTGTGTGTGTGTGTGTGTGTGTGTGTGTGTGTGTGTGTGTGTGTGTGTGTGTGTGTGTGTGTGTGTGTGTGTGGGAGAGGGGGAAGAGTGTGTCGGTAGGTGATTTATAGCTCCCCGTCTATGAGCCAAACTTTGCTGCTGGCCTGCAGAGCTGACCTGAGACTAGATTAGCTGTCACCAACATCACAGTATCATCTGTTCCTGTTAGCATTACACAAAGTTTGGAATCCAGCATCTCCTCCGCATCCTTTTCTGGGCTTGTCTTGTGTCACTTGCACATCTTTCTTCTTCTTTTGCTGGACTAACTAAAGCATGACTCATCAGACATTTTTTAACATTTTGATTTTCAAATGAGTATTTATTATTTCTTAAGAGGTCACCTCATGAGACAAGCATACTAAGATTTGTCTTTTGGATAATCTATACAGATCAACCTTGTTAGCAATACTAAATAAAGAGTAAATGATAGCTGTTTTTAAGACTTGAGTCCAACACTAACAGGCTGGTTCCGATTAGGAGAAGCAGAGAAAGAAAAAACAAACAAAATGTGCGAAGTATGAGCTCCTTGTCAGTGTTGGAACCAAACCACAATGTTATTTATATTTAAGCAAACCTGTAATGCTACGTGATGCAGCTCTGTGACTGTTGCTCCCTGTAAGTTTAGGGAGGCATGATGGGAGAAACACACCCAAAGACATGCAATCAGAAGGAGAAGAGGAGGGAAGAGGAGTAAGTAGTGGAGAGGTCATGTCCGCCTTGTTTCATTGCTGATTTGGATAAGATATGTCAGACTCTCTTGAGCAGACTCAGAGAGACGATGTGTGAGAGTAGTTCACAATCAACAACAGAGGTTTCATCATAACGGGTCAAATCAAACACGCATTTAAAATCCTAAACCTTTTTGTGTGAGGCTTAATTAGTTTGTTAATTTGTGGTTCAGGTCAGGTCACAGTAACACAATAACAGTGTTAGTCTGTTACAATAATTTTTCTAGCCTACACAGCCATAGCAACATCACATGTATTTGAATGGAGTGTTAGTGTCTCAAGCAAATTCTGTATCCAAGTTATTTTCACATCAATCTTAGCAAAATAAAAACATTTTCACTCACAGGAAGCCCTTGATCTCCTTGGGACCCTGCTGGCCCACCTGGTCCTGGAGCTCCAGGTGCACCTGGGGTTCCCTGAGAGAAAGACAGTTAATCGGAGAAAGAGACAGAGATGGAGTAGGAAGGTGACAGAAAGCAGAAGGATCAGTCAGTCCATGTGTGAGGTTGAGCTGCCAGGAAAATGATGCTGAGAACATAAAAACAAAAGAGACTCACAACGGGTCCAGGAGGTCCTTGTCGTCCCTGTGGTCCGCTATTTCCCGGCAAACCCTGTAAGAGCGACAGTGAAATACACTCGGTATATTAAATATTATGTGCACTTTCATTATTGTAGGTTGAATTTTGTTTTGCACAAACCCTTTCTAGGAGGCCTGAGGAATTTCCTGCAAGTCACCAAACTAAACCGACTGTATTATTTTCTAATACAGTTCATATACAGACTACTGACAGAAACCAAACTCAGTAGCTGTTGAGTTACTGCGACTTCTGCTGGTGGTCGTCCAACCTCAATCTGCCAACAACTGCCTCGAATCAAAAGTCTGGTTTTACTTTTCGACAGATTGCACAAAACACAGGTGCATTCCTCCTGACTGTAGGGCTTTTCACAATAAGATTGTTGACTTTTACATAATCTCTATTTTAGCTGCCTCAAGGTGTGTAAAAACATCTCTGCCCTTTAATGTCTTCTCCATGACGCTGTGGTTTTAAAAGAACACGTGAAAAAGAAATTGCGGCTTTCCCTTTAGAAGGAACATTCATACCTATGAAAATTCTGTAGGCCAGGTTTCTGAATGTATGACATATAATAACATGATATATAATAACATGATGATGGCTTTGTTGTGTCTTCATATTTATGGGTCATTCAGATTGAACAAATTCATTGCTATTAATACACAGCTTGGAAATTGAACACAGCATCGCATTGCCCTGGAAAACAGTTTAACCTGAGGTTCAGCTAATCCTCTCATTTTTGCTTGGATGTCTGTCGTACTTTGTGGTCGCACACTGAGGCTGATGCCCTTTCAACATGGACACTCCTTATATGGTTTTCAATTTAGCCTGAGTGAGGGCACAAGTAATGAAATGAAAACAATAAAATGACTTAAAATAAACAATATGAAACAACTGAGGATACAATGTGGTAGATAAAATGTTACTGAAATTGTGGAAGGTGGAAAAATGTAAAAGGTAAATGAAACAGTCCATGTGGTGCAGTTGACTCTTTGATTTCTTGGCACGTATATTGGATATATTATGTGTTGCTTATGCAGTTTCTACACCAGTTCAGTAAACAAAAAGAGGGATGATGTACTGCATCTGCGAGCGAGGGAAATTCCCCTAAGGTGTAACATCCTAAACGATCGCCAAAACACCAACTGTATCCTCTTTGTTAAATCCTCATGAGAAACTTTACCTTCCAAATGAATATAACCATACCAAGTGTTTGACTACACAACAGAATCTGTCTTCACTACACAATAACATAAGCATGAGTGCCTTTGAAAACCTCAGCCAGTGTGTGACATCAGAAAACTCCTCAGCGAGAGTCACTCAGGAGTCACACAGTAAACACTGGTCAGCCCACTAATGGCACTCTGGAGGAGGCAGAAGTTCCAACCAATATTCAAGTGTCATCACGTCACAAACTTTTTTACTTTGAAGTGCTTTCAGACTGAGCTCAACCACATCTGGAACAAGAAGACATAAGTCTTGAGACAAAATAAGTTCAATAAATTTCCTGCTGTGAAGCAAACTAGCATTTGATGTGACACTGGGACAGGAGTCAGCCTGGTGACACACTATAAACACTCCCCAGTAAATCACACCGAAAGTATTTTAGACATGTAGTTTATCGATCGAGTGCTGGATCATAATGCAATGTCAAAATTACACACACACGCCATAAATACTGACTATCCACACTTTGTTAAACTTTCTCTGTTTGAGGTTCAAATAAGAAATTCAGTCCTGAGCCTTCTTTCACAGGAGTCAGGCTTATGAAAAAATGCAACACTGCTGTTATATTTTGGAAGCCATGCAGCAACCGGTTTATGGTCTGACCTATAGTCTAAGAAATTGGGGCAAGGCTAATCTAATTCAGAGGTTTGTATGCATGCAGAAATACCCACAAACAGTGTAAAGGTTCTCTCTGTGTAACCTCTATTAACAAAACTAAACTTTCTTTGCAAAGGGCTTTGACGTGAGCTTGAATGTTCAAGTATATCTGTGATGAGAACTGTACCTTCTCTCTGTTGAATGATTTACAAGTCAGCAGTATATCCTCAAGTTTTTACAAGCCTAGATGTTGGAGAAAACCTAGATCTACTCAGTGCGGTCCCGAGTTGAAAAAATTCTGTAATGCAAGCATAAGTGACACAATAAAGATTTATAGCTTTCCTTGATCCATTTCACAGTGATATAGACTAACTAAGTACCTAGGAGACAGTTACTGTTGTTTCAACTGATCTAACTGGCTGGTACTGTACAGTCTTGGCCAGACTTGTGTTCTTTTTTCACTCCACGACAGGCTGTTTTTGGCTTGTATACACCTCACAAAAAGTTTTGTATGGTTTTTATGCCCAGTGGACTCTTGCTGATAAGTTTTAATGTGAATCAAAGGGCTATCTATGTTCCCTCTTCTCCTTTCAACAAATCAGATGATACAGACAAGTGGCTGGGTTAAATCCCCATCATGTGGCAATCCCCAAAAAGCAGCACAAGCACCAGGGATTTTCAAAAGCTGCTGCTTGTTCATAATTATTGTTCAACTGGCTATATTCTATATCTATATCACTGTCAAATGAATAGCAGTAAAAGCAGAAACTGCTGTAGCATTGTAGCATTGATAACCTCTTGTGAATCAATTCTTATCAGTATTCACAGCTCCCCCTTCCCAACTGCTTTCAATGCATCAAGCGAAAAAAAAAAAAGGAATTCAGTCCCAGCACACTGCGGGAGGCTTCAGTGTGTGACGTTAACTGCAGTGATAAAAGTACTGATTTGAGATGTTTCCTGTCTCGTATGGAAACTAAATTATAATTAGCTCTTTATGATTCTACAAACATACACGTTATGCTTTTTTCATCCTCGTAGTCTCTACAATAATTACAAATATAAAATAGACAGCAGATCTGTGGCATCTTGATGAAATATGAATGTGGGAGGCCCGACATAATCAGTGCTGCAAAGGGGACACGGTTCCCAATTGACAGCAGCTAAAATTGTTCCCTGATTAGTAATTTCACATGATTACACTCAATAATTACATTAGTAAGCATGCACTGTATTCTGTGATACAGAATGTGAAGACGACTGTATTCAGTTAAATACAAAGTATGGCTTAATGAATTGTGACATTAAAGCACTGAGGTTTAGTGTGTTTAAAATTGTAAAAAGTTTCGTTTTCCTTACAACTGGTGTAACTTTTTGCTTTGGTTTATCTGTAACAGAGAATGTGAGAACCCCATTTACACCAACTCGGAGCTCAAGTATGTAAATAAAGGCTCAGCAAATGTCCAGCAATAAAAAACAAAATATGTGAAAAGGATGTGTGTGGTAATGTACGGTAATAAAGATCAGCTTGAAGATTTAGGTTGGTAGGATTCAGTCTGCATTTTCACCATTGCTCTAACTGTTAAACACCACCCGCTACAATAAAAATACTACAAGTTGTAGCTTGAAAAGAGTTTAATCAACTGGCAGGTTAACCTAGGAGACACAGTATGTTTCCTACTTTGACAAGTCTGCTGTGAAAAATGCGTACTGACTTGATGTTTTTAAATCAAAGTTTGAAGTCTTGCCATTTACTCAAATACTTGGAGCCAGCCTGTAGCAGCTATTAGCAGAACTCATTTTCATATCCACATTTAAGACAGATCTGCTGCAGCCTCAGTGTTCAGATATGGTGGTTGCTAATTTGTGCAAATCTGTTAACAACGGTACAATGAGACGTACACTCTTTATATTAGTTCCTCATGTGCAAATCATGCTGCTTTAAACAAGAAAAACTGGATGGTACATTAGGCACGCAAATATTAGGCATCAAACTGACCATTGGTGATGAAGTTATCTACATTAACTCCTGTATCAAAAACATAATAGAAATGAACCATGTTGACAGGATTCAGTCAGAGTGGAGAGTTTTGTTTTCCTCCAAAGAGCTGAGAACCTCTACTATGGCTAATAAACAGTCACTTTTGCCTTTAACCACAAGACTTCACTGTGTGTGCTTGTGTCAGTACCTGCTGCTTACAGATGTAATATCAGATGTACCTATGCCTCGAACTCTTATTCCATATGAGGCAAGTTCCTAACCCTAAAAGGGAGAAGTATTTGGGATGGCATTTTGGTTGCTAAGATGAAGTTTATCTGACTCATTCTCAGGCCATGTTCCAGTCTATACGTTTACTGGTGAGTCAGCCTGTTTCACTCCCTAGAAAACAGATATCAAAATTGTGATGGATAGAAAAAAAAAACAGACAAACAAAACATTGGTTACTATGTCTGTTATAGTCATGCACCAGTAATAAAAATAAATGAATTTTGAGCACACTGCAGCTTAAAAGCAACAAATGAGATGGTTAAAAAAAGTCCCAATGGAAAGCAGATAAGACTTTAACACGGATGTCATTTCGCAGTGTAGTAGCTGTTATTGGCAACTTTAATTAAACCAATATAAGATTTTGAATGAATCTTTTCCTTTCCTTTTAACTCAGAATCTATCCAGCAATGTGAGAGGAAACTCTAGCCACAGGAAAGCACATGACGAGCCTGAGAACTATGTATGACTTCTTCTGAAACCCACCACAGAGGGGAGCGTCTAGACTCCTGTCAGCCAGCGAAGAGGCAGCAGATAGATTATGTGTAAAGTCTTTCACCTCGCCAGAAGCAAGGCCAGGACAAAACTCTTCTGTTATCATATTACGCATTTGGATAAAACCTCCTCTTTCTGCTTGCCGACACATTACCCTCTGGCTGCGTTTCTGTTTTGGTATTTACAGCCCTGTTGGGTATTGTAAGGCCCGATTCCTCTGTCAGCATCAAGTAAAGCCAGCTGGTATCACAGAGCCTTCACGAGTGGGACTGCATCCATTGTGCATGTTGTGCTCAAAAGCCAGGCAGTGCGCACCGTTTTCAACAACTGGGGGACGACTTGTATAGTTTTATGAAGGAACATAAACCCAAAACAGACAAACACAGCTGGACATTTAGAAACTGTACACAGCTGAAAAAGTATCAAATATTTTCACAAGAGACTTGAAAAACTATTGTTTGAGTGTGTATCGTAAAGCACATTTAAAATATTACCCAAAATAAGAACAAATACAGTACAAATGTTTTCACCTTTTTAAATGTTGCATTGTCTGCTTTTTTGACATGTTTGCCATATGTATACACAAATCGCTGATAATAATTTTCAAAAACCTCTGATAGTTGGAGGAGGAACATCTGGCAAAGGTGCATTTTCCAAAGGATTGTTTTTATTTTTAATTTTATTTCTATGTCGTTGTGTGTTGCCATGCCTACCTACCTTTTCTCCAAACTATTTCCAAATGGACTTTTCATCTTAGCACACCCTCTAGAACTAGTAATGTTGATGTCAGCAGAAACATTTGCTGCTATCATCATATCATATCCATTTATCTTTGAGCATAATATGATTTTTTTTCCATCTACACAAAGTAACTGCCTTCAAGACCCACTTTTAAGATTGTGTTTTTTCCGCACCATTTAACTCAAAACTGAATTAAAAAAAAAGACTCATTTTGTCTACATCTCTAAATACAGTATCTCCATCTTTATGTGAAGTATATCAGATACTATAGATAAATAAATCCATGTAGCTCACAATACAATGCTCCACCATACACAGGATCACATTATACAGTTACAGTGTGCAACAGTAATCCATAGAGTTGATATTATTATCTTACCCTTGCTCCTGGGGGGCCGTCTCTACCAGGTGAGCCAGGGCTTCCAGCAACACCCTAGACAAAACATAAACAAGGAGGTTTGAAATCACTATGACAACATTAACTGTGGTTAACATACAGTATGGACAGTAACTGGACAGTTTGTGAGGATATAAAAAGATAGAAAAGCAACATTTGTATGCTAATGTGAACTTTTGTGATGGCAACTGGAAAGAATTCACACGTTCCTTCAGCCATGACAAACTGATATTCTTTATAATCAGGTTTTTTGACTTGTGGATTCGTCTTGTTTATTCATTCTAGTCCATTACAGTCCTTCATTTTTAAAAGCACTTCATCTGCCACATTACATAGACAAGGAATGTCTTTTTTTTCTCAAAATATTTAAAATGCATTAAAACACATTAAACCAAAAGGTCAAACAGATAAGGGTTTGCTGTCTGGCTCAATGATGCTTTGACAGCCGTGGACATAAATTTGATTTGTGCAAAGAAGCAGCTTCTAACCCCCTGGACACAGGACAGCCTCTATATCAGCCGGCCACCCTGCTGCTCCATCTCCTGCCCCATTTCCCCTTCATCCACCTCTCTGCAGGTCAATGCACACAGCCGATTCAAAACACAGCCATGGATTAAGTGTTGAGGTGATTTATCTCTGCACTTCAGTATTAGTGGAGAGCTCATAAAACAGGACAGTTAACACTGTTAAAAAGGTTCTACAAATTACAGGACAGGGTCACAGAGGACAGGCCTCATATGATTAACGATGTGTTGTTGTTTAGATGTTGGCTGATGTGCATTCTCCCAAAACATCTGCGATAATATCTCTCCAGTCACTTTCACACACAAACTTCAACACACAGACAAGCACACACACAAAGCAGGGAAGTAGGACGACACAGCTGCACAAAACCCATATTGAGACTGAGGAAAGTGCAAAAACACTGATTCCAGAAGAGTCCATATGATATCTGAAAAAAATCTGCCAGGGCTGCAAGTGTATTTCAATTTTTCAAGATTTAAAAAAAAAATGAATGCATCTTTAAACAATATGGAGAAAAATTAAAATGAAAAGTGAATTTAGAAAACAGTTGAAACAAGTTGGTTTCCACTGGAATTTTTTTTCACTTGTTTAAACAAGAACAAAAACTCTAAGGACTCAATGACTTGATAAAAAGAATAGGATTTTTATTTTAACACATCCACCCCCTTTTATAACACACTGTAACACACTAATATAGTTGGGAGCAGATATAAGGACAGTGCTGGTATAGTTATTGACAAACACATAAATAAACTGCGCTAAAGCAACTGTAGCTGTGTTTAAACAGATAAATGATCAACAATAAAATATAGGAAACTTGTAATCAACATAAAATATAGTCAATAAAGTATCTAAGTATCTATAATTAAGATTTAAATGCCAAACACTAAGGATTTGAATCTGTGTAATTATACATAATTATTTACAGCCAGTGTTTGTGCCAGGTCACACTTAAAAAGAACTAGTTCAAAGTTCAGTTCATACAGATGAAAATGTTCACGTTTATTATTTTAAATTTTGAACTAAGTTCACAGTTTCAAAAATGAACTAGTTCACATTCATTTGTTCCGTTTTTTAAAAATAAATAAGCCGCTATTCATTTTCAACAGAGCCTTCTTCAACCGATCCATCACCAGCCCCAAATCATTGCCACTTCCAACTAAATGAATTATTGTACACCACTGAGGAATCACAGATATGAGTTACATTTAAAATCTGTATAAAAATATAATCCGTCTGAGTCTTCACTTGTTTGTTCATGAAACTGCTTAAAATTCTCAAACAAACTATCCTCAGCAGTAGTAGATGCGTCTGTACCGCTAGTACCAGTCATGCTGGGCTGTGTCTTTGGAGACATCATGCGGCGTGTCGTAAAACTGTTGTAAAACGTGAGTTCATCATTTGCAAACCGTTGATCCGATCAGTTCAGTGTTCAAAAAAGATATGAACGTGTTCATTCAATGCATTCATGCACAACACTGATTACAGCTATGTCATCAATAACTCATGACCTGTTTATACAACAGTTACAGAGGCTTCAGAGAAGTTATCATTTTGACAAATATATTCACAAATACTTAAAATGTCTTTGTATTTGGTTACAACTACATAACAGAATGTTATAAACCATTTAGGAATAGGCTTATTTGCTTTCTGGCAGAGACTTCGATGAAAAGATCGATAGCGTGCTCATGTCTACCTGTTAAATATGAAGCTACAACCAGGAGGCAGTTAGCTTAGCTCTGCAACAAGACTGGAAACATTAATATATTCTAATTTTTAATGGATATACAGTATAGTAGAGTGGTATTGATCTTCTCATGTAACTCCCCCCCAGAGAGCGAATAAGTGTATTTGCCAAAATATACAGCTTACAAATGTTAAATTGGGGTGGGGGTTAAAGTCAAAACAAGAAAACAAGAATACAAGTTCTCAAACACACATACACACAGCTCCCCAGTACACATACCCATCTTAACCTCTCAAACAGACCTTGAGAATAATATGAGCGGGAAGGCCAAAGAAATGCAGCGGGGAAAAAGTGCACAAGTGATTGTGATTCAACACATTAGCCTTGGGATTGCTTTGCTGCAGAACGACACACACACACACACACACACACACACACACACACAGCTGTGAGTGTGATACTGTCCAACAGATTAAGATGTTAATGGGGGGGGGGGGGGGGGGCAACTATATACATCTGTGAAAGATCCAGAAAGAAAACACACAACCTATTTTCCAATCTTGGACAAAACAAAAATGATTACTGGATAACCCTGGACAACACACCACACACGCACACTGATACACAGAATGAAAGTGAGAGATGAGAAAGATGGACACACTCACACACTCAACCATGCGCTTTGCTATTCATTGCGGCTGCATTTTTCACTGTCAAATTGAAACAGAGGTGGAGGGGACAATGATGACAAGGTTACATTGTATTTACTGCAGCAAGAAACAGAGAGAGAGAGAGAGAGAGAGAGAGAGAGAGAGGAAGACTTGGAGGGGGAAAGCAGAGCAGGGAGCGAGAGAGGTAATTGATGATTTAGAGTTGTGATACTCTCTGTGGTCCCTCTTATATTACAACAGGGCCCTGGAAGCTGCAATATTCCCCCACTGAGCCACACACACACACACACACACACACACAGATATTCCTCTCTTTGACAAAACACATTACTACTCTGTAATATAGTGCAGCGCAGGGCAGCACTGCCAGCTTTTATTAATAGGGCTATGCAGGCAGAGAGAGAGCGAGCTAGATAGCACTGCATCAGGAAGTGTTGCAGCTCTTAGTGAGCTGGTTCAGAAACTAGTGGCTCTCTCCTCATGAGACTGGTTACTGTCGCTCCTCTCTTAGAAAACTGAACAAGTCTTGCAGTGAGTCAAACATTCGGAGTATGACTTACAACCTGTGAGTGAATTCTAGTCTCATCAACAAGAAACTTTACTGGTTCAAGCCATTTCATCAGCCAGACTACACAGTGGTACATAGTAAACACAAGTAGATAAAAATCCCAGAAGAACAAACTATAATCATCAGGAACACAATTATCAGTGTAACAATAAATTCTCTTTACAGTTGCCTCTGCCAAAAACAATTTGTGTATCTGCATCAGCACCATAATAAACCACCTGTCCAACACAGTAAATATTATTGTCATTATCATCGTCATTGTAAAATCTAGTCTTATAACCAAGGCCCTGTTGACACAAGAGTTTTCTGAGTAATTAATCAGCATCACTACCCAGCCACTAAATCTACTGCTAAACATTATTTATTAAAGATACCCTGTAGTATAACCATCAAATTGAAGTACACAGAGAATGACCATCCCATCATAGTACAGTGCGGCCTGAAGGCAGATCAATGCATCAGTTTGACATGACCAGTGATCAGCAAATGGGGGCGGTGACTGAAAAAAATGTGAGCTCTGTGGTATGGAAAAAAAAATTAATAGTTCTCCTTTACGCTCTCTGCAGGAGCTGTCTCTCAAAACCAAAACATTTGCAATGTCAGCTCCACGTGGAGAGTCTGACTGCAGCTAAATCTGGTAGTAATGAACATAAAACGAGTTTATCCACTCATTCTCTGAAATTTCTTTTCCCTGTACAGCTCACTGTTGTAGTAGCAGTACTGGACAGAGACCAGAAGAAATAATACTCAGGTTGTCAATACATCACAAGGCCCATAGAGACACAAAACAGGAAATGAAAAGTTCTTACAAAAAAAGAATAGGGCGTTCTCGATCTGAGCTTAGGTGTGAACCACTGCCATGAACATGCTGACCAAATTAGTATATATTAAATAAATTACAATATTTTTTTCTTTCCTAAAAATCGGTGTGGACATTCAAAAAGTGAAATTGGTTTACACCTGTGCTCTCTGACCATCTTCTTTAATTTGTTGTGACACAGCAATAGACAACACTAGCCGATGTAACCAGCGAGATGCTGTATGTGTAAAAGAGTTCCTGCTCCTTTCAAACCCCTGGACTTTAAAAAGGTAGAATTTGTGTTCTTTTTCCACTTCATACGTTTTGATATAAGCCTGAGTGTGTGCAGGGCAGACCTGCACTATCTCTACAGCAGGCAGAGCTGCAGACTGAGGGTGCAGATAGTGCTGCATCAGGATCTACTTCAACTCAGTGTGTGAGTGGGATGGAGCTCAAAGAGCTTTTAGGGATGTTGGCTCCCACACACTCAACTTTTAAATAATTTGAAGAAATCACTAAGTGAATTCAGTAAACACATGTCTTGACATGACAACTACAAGAAATGAAAAAGTAGTAAGCTGAGTGGAAACGTGTGCACAACATCTGTTCTTGTACACTTGATTTACGCTGTAAGGGACAATCTTACGTTCAGATGTGGGGATAATGAGCCAAGACAACACCCTGAAACATAGTAGGCCAAGGCTTATTCAGTATACTAGTACTGTTAAAATTTGAAGTCTGCCTTAGGAGATTAGTCTTCACAGATCTGTCATTCATCCCTTGTTAGTCCAAAAACATTTATGTCATTGACATGGACATAAAAAAAATGTTGCTTGTAATGGTTTTTCTCCAAATATCTAAAACAGTAAAATTTGCCATAGTCATAACACCATAGTCGCCATAGATTATTATATCATCTCAATGATGCATTTAATACTCTCCAGTCTAGTGGGAAAAAATAGCAGATTCAAGCCCCAAATCTCTGGATCAACTGAAAGCCTCCACACTGCCCTGGATTTGCCCTCACAGGTGTTTTCATTTAATTAACCTGATTCGATTTCTTGTCAGGAGTGCGTGCGTGTGTACGTGCCTGCGTACCTGCGTGCATGCATATGTATGCACGCACGCATAATCTTCTGTAAAGTGTCCTTGAGTGCTGTGAAAGGCGCTGCCAAATAAAATGTATTATTATTATTATTATTATTATATGTTGGAATCATTACAAATTGTCAAGAAAGCTATTCGTATTTGACTGTATCAAAAAAATGCCTTTGTCACCACCATTAATCTAAGAGACAGTGTGGTACAAAGTCCATAGTTACTATAACACTGACTCTGTCCTTGCTGATGTCCAGAGCTCCCAGTAGAGCACCATTAAATTAATTCAGTATTACCTCTGATTGGTTCACTGCCCAATAATGGAGACGCTGGTAATGATTATGCACATCTCAATGATTCCATTAGATTGCTGTGTGTCTGTGTCTATATGGATGTGTGTGTGTCAGCAACAAAACATTCCGTGCCTACACACACACACACACACACACACACACACACACACACACACACACACACACACACACACACACACACACACACACACACACACACACACACACACACACAACACACACACAGCTACTTGAACCTTTATGTTAATTTTCCTCTCACCTCCTCCTCCTGCTCTNACACACACACACACACACACACACACACACACAAACACACACACAGCTACTTGAACCTTTATGTTAATTTTCCTCTCACCTCCTCCTCCTGCTCTCTCACTCATTTACAATGTGCAGTTATGAAACTATGTGGGAATAATATACAGAATTTTATTGAGTACAGTTCTGATAAAAGAGACACTTTTGGCATGGCCCCTCACCTCCAGAATAAACAAATAAAACAAAAGTTCAGTAGGTCAACACAAGGTTTCTTGATTAAAAGGACAGCATCACTACCCAGCCACTAAATCTACTGCAGCTTTAACAACTGAAGGAATGAAGAATTTGCAATTATATGGAACACACTGACAAATTGCTTTATACTAATACTGGCTATACTGGACTGGCCAGGATAATAAAAAATACAACAAAAAACATTTTCACAATTGAAGTTGTTTGTCCACCTCAAAAATGAATCCACATGAAAAAATACTTTCCAGCCCCAAGCACTTTCTGCTCAATATTCAGTGAAAAAAAAATTAGCACAAACCTGTAAGGTAGTAAATATGTGTAAATGTGTATATTTTCACCTCCAACAGGTGTTTTGTTATCTGTGTGACTCTTACCCATTACAATGCTAAAGATCAAGACAGAAAACAAAGACTTATGAAAGAAATTGTTGCCTTAATAGGGAAACAAGTTTCACTTCTGTGATAATTAATTTTTTAGGAAATGCTGTCTTACCACTTGTCCGGCTGGACCGATCTCTCCTCTCTCTCCCTTTTCTCCAGCAGCGCCCTGTAAAACAAACAGTGTCATTACATCTCAGCTGGACCAGCAGTCATATCGATAGCTACCAAAGGACTAGAAAAACCAACATCAGTTATCTTAATAAGATGCTGAGCCACCACAAGTCCCCAGAACAGCCTTAGCATGCTTTGGACAAGATCCTACAAGAGTGTGGAAGTCTATTTAAGGCATATGTCAACATTTGTCATTTGTTTATATTGGCTGGTGGTTGACAACTCGATGCTAGGTCCATTTCTAATTGCACACATTTTGTGACCTTACTGCAGACAGGTGGGAGTGGAATGGCACACAACACACATTTGGTGACTATGTTTCCATCATAGTGTAATGTAGCAGTGATGCTTGGGAATAACAAAACTTTTGGTTTCTGTATTTGATATTTGTCTTGATCCCAGATATGGGTCTTGTACCATTTCGTAAAAATGTTTTTCTTTTGAAACACCGTCCAAATATTAGGACCATAGATGTTTCTTCTGAGAGGAGAGTTATTATGTGTAAATTATGCCTATTTTCATGTTGAAATGATCAAGTAATTATGGAAATTATGAAGATGTGATGTTGCACTCCTGAAAATATGACATTACACTACGTTTCAGCATGCACACAAAAATATGCACTTGGGCAAAGTCTTACCGGGGGCCCCTGAATGGAGAGTCCACTGGGTCCCTGAGGACCAGGTGGTCCTGGGTGTCCAGGTGGGCCAATCTCTCCCACTGGCCCTTGAGGTCCCTGTGAAAACAACACAATGGATTTAAGTTTTTCAGCATTCATTTTTGGGCGCAGCTTTTGTGCAACATAAACAGGAAATCTTCAAATTGTTGAGAAAAAAAATATATTTAACAGCTTCATGACAACTGAGCAAAGTCCCCTCCAAATGACGATCATGTGATGTTGATGGTTGATGGTTTAATACCACATATTCATGAAACACCTCAGTAATAGCACTTAGAATTACATACAAGTTAGATTCACTTTCAAGAAAGCTGAAAAGTATTACATGTAACATATTACATGTATGTGACAATTTCAAGTCTTCAAGTCCATATGGTTTTAGTTCTCATTATAGCTCTAACTAAAATCTGAAGAAAGTTTACTTGTTTATTATATGACGGTGTTTTAACTCGATCCTCAGCCGGTGACGGCTGAGGATCGAGTTAAAACAAACCCTGGTCAGCATCATCACTACATGCTCGGGGGCTTTTACTACCATTGGCTGCTTCAATAATGAGATCTACTACAGGAAATGGATGTAGACACTTGTCCATCCATCTATAAATCAGGTTGTGCCGGTGTGTCGGCTCATTTGATTCATGTGTGTGAGCTGCAGACAGGGTTCTTGCAGTGGGAGTCAGAAAAGTGGAGAATTCCTGTAAACCGCCGCTGAATCGCAGCATTTGCAGCTTGTTGGCTCAGCAGCAGCAGTAGCCAAAGTAATCTTCACTCCAGCTGTATTTATTGTCTTACTGCTCAACCACACAGTTACTGGCTCCATGTCTTTCTTATCCATGCATACAATCAAAAGGAACCGTGGATCAGATATACATGAATGGGGTGGGAACAGAGAACGGGGAACAGAGGACTGAACTGTTTAACCAAATGATATCACTAAAATATGCCGCCAAACTACCTGGAGAGATGAATCAATTGACAGATGATGAAATTTCAATTACTTGAACATTTATTTTAACAACTGCAAAATGTACTTCCCCATTTATCAGTGCATATACTGTAATAATTAATGCATCTAAATTCATGGAGGAGCTGGTCTCACACAACAATATAATCCAAATATTCAAATAAAAGTTGGGTGAAGCTGCAGAGCTACAGAAGACAAGTGTGATCTGACAGACATGTATTAATATATACGTGTGCACTGCACAGTATGTGTGTGCCAGCGGGACAGAAAACCACATTGCACTCCAAAACTAACACAATTATAGCCATCAAACATAACACACACGGTATGTATTGAGAAAGCTTTGTTTCATTCTTGGGAATTTCTATCAAAATGTGTGAAGTTTTAAGTTCTGGGTGGGCCACTTCATGTAGTGCACTCGATACGCTGTCACTCAGCAGAGCCAAAGGAGGACATATGGTTGAAATATACAACCTTTTTTTTATTGATTGGCAGCCTTGTGAGCCTGAACAGAAGTGGCAGAACCCCTGCTGCTTCTTTCAAAGAAGAAAACCTTCAAAACATATTTTTTTTAAATCTAAGATGAAATTACAATCATGGGAACTGGTGGGTATTGGTATTGAGAAATTTCCAACAGCATCAGGCCTTGTACCGACTGCCACAGCTGGATGGCTTGTAACAGTTTGGAACAGATTACCATAGCAAAACTACAGCAGATGCAAACTCTACAGTAAATCTTTCAATGATAGTTCAAGACAAGATTTGTTGGAACACTGTCTGTTAAAGACAGGATAGTAACAGCGGCGATCAGAGCCTGCCTCGCCTGCCTGTCTTGAGGCCAAAAGGAAGATGAGTTAGTCTGGAAAATTGATGTGGGATTTTCGAAGGTGACCACTTCTTTTAGCCCAAGGGTGTTTCACATCCTGTCTGGAGGGTGGGCTGATGTTGAAACAACTCTTTGTGATTTGGGGGCTTTACTACACACCCTTGAAGTCTTTCCTCTTATCATCTAATCACTGGGTTGAACAGAGGATGGAGTTTGTTCTGTCCCTGGAGGTGGAGGTGTGGACCAGCAAATTCAGATTATGAATAACATGCACTATAAATAAGAGTCTTGCTAAGTCTTGTGGGCTCCTCATTAGTTTCATGGATCAACAGGGAGATGTCTTCACTTAGAGTTGCAAACTGACCCCGACTCTTTCGTCTCAAGAAGAGTTCAGTCTGATCGAACTCTGACACGTGAAATCGTGAGGCTCTCTGATGTCCAGCCAGTTTGAGAGAGTCGATAGAGGGATTAATCCGTGAAATATTGATTTAAGGTTTAAGGTTCAATTTATTCATCTATGAATTCATGGAAATTATGCTAGCTCCCACAGTTTGTGCTTTACTGTGAACTCCTGGGGTGCTCCTTCTTCCCTCAGGAATATGCTACCACATAGATACTCAACCAAGTAAAAGATGAATTATAGACACTATTTGAGACGTATTGTGTTCTAGATGTTTTGCGGAAGAATAAATAGTCTCAGAATTTAAGAGCATTTTACCAACCGTTATTCCTGGCTCTCCTCTGTCTCCTCTAGCTCCCCTTATGCCTGGACCACCCTGAAACACAGGAAACAACAAAAACACACTGTAAAAAGACACATAATCAATGTTTGCAAATTGTGTGCCTAAAAAGAGGGTAACAGCTAAGAAACACGCCTCTGCAAAAATATTTCCCCCTCAGACTCCCTTACGAACATGGAAATTGGTGTTCATTTAAAAAAAAAAATCCAATAATAAAACTGGAACTGTGCAGGTCTTTGATATGGATGGATTAGGAATATGATGGACAGAGGCCAACAGTGACCTGTGCTGTAAACCGCCCCGCTGAGCTCTGCACTTTATTACTCTGCATCTGTAAGTTAACAGCAGGAGTCTGGAGCTGTAAACCCTGGGCTGACCTCTCTAGCCCCCAGGATTATCCAGGGACAAACTGCATACATCTGCTAATCATTGGCCCATTTGGGATACATCCTTTTCCTGTGTTTGCTTAAATAGGCCCCCCCTGGGAATGAGGTGGGGGCGAGGTGGTTCCTACAGTATTTAGCCAGAGGGGACAGGAGGGATGGTTCCATGAAGGGAGAGGAATATGAAAAGAGACACACACATGTGGTAGAAGCAGTAGGTCAGTCCTAATGGAAGGATTGTCTATCATCTCTTTTGTTTGTTTTTTTTGTTACCAGTTTCTATACCAAATTCTGTATCATCTTATTATGTAATACCAGTGTCATTTTTGTTTTCCCAATTCATGCCAATGAAAAGTTTAAACGCACAAAACTATTGAACCAAGTAAAGTATGAAGTTTGTCCTCCTTTGCTTTACCACTCAGAAGACATCAGTTTTATAAGATCTATTTAAACAGCTTACAGAGAAAATCTGCTGCACTGACGTGTATGTGTAACTCTTTGAGCAGAACACGTATTGGTATTTATTACTAACATGAACTTATTAAGCAGGTAACAATGATGTTTATAGGGTCTGGTTCCACCTTTGCCTTTGCCTGTTAAATGACAGGTTCTGATTTTGTAAGCTCTATCTTGATGTAGAACTCATATGCCTATACAGTATATACATTGAAAGAGTATTTGGTCACTGTAATGATTCCCCCTGGCTACACTGTCCATGAGGTGATCCATTCTACTGGAAAAAGCTACCAAATCCATGCTCTGTGCAAACTGCAAAAATGTGCAATTTTTTTTGCCACTGTCCCTGGTCAGTGTTTCCTTACAGCTCAAATCAAGCGGACTATGGGGCTTTTGTCCCCCATCAACATCCATCAACAGTGGAGTGGTGAAAGGAAAGAGGAGGAAGAATTAAAGCAACTAGTTACTCTTTCAACTACAGACTGGTGACAAATTAAAGGAAAAACCAACATAGTGTCTCAGTCAGGTATTGGACCAATGCTCCCTGGCACTGATTCTCCAAGTCTCTGAACTCTACTGGAGGGATGAACACCTTTCTTTCAGAAGATATTCTCTCATTTGGGGTTTTGATGATGGAGAGTGCTGTATAACACATCAGTCGAAAATCTCCCATTGGTGTTTAATTGGGTTGAGATCTGGTGGCAGCAAAGGCCACAGTATATGATTCACATCATTTTCATACTCATCAAACCATTCAGTGACCTCTTGTGTCCTATCGATGTGGGCATCGTCATCCTGTTTCTCCACTCGTTTTTCAGGTTTTGCCTTTCATTTGTCACCTGTCTGTATGTATGGTATGTGAGAATTGAAAAGAGTAGACTTTTAAGAGGCTTAAAGTGTCTTTAAATTCTCCTTTTGGCAGGGAAGAGATGGAGTGGAACTACTGTTCTTTTGATTCAAATGTAACAATTGTGCCTTTGTAAATGCATATAAGGATAAAAAAAACATGTTATTCAAAATGATTGATTACTTTTATCAATTTAGCAATTTGTCTCTGCAAGTAGTTTTTAATGGATTTTTGCAAACAATGTGTGCCCATGACTTTGGAGGCAGGGCAAAACCTGCAGAGAAGCTGAAATTGGCCTCCAACATCAGTAATACAAATAATTGTGTTTGGATTTTACATGGGCCTTTAATGGCAATAGAAAAGAAAATACACAGCTATTACCATTTAACTAAGCAATTTGATGCCAAAGGCAAAATTTACATTTTTTCAAACAACACTTGGATCTCAAACAGCATGGACACAATTCAATTTTAACAAACAGAGATGGTGGGCCAGGCATGTCTTGTTTTCCTTAATGTCAGATTGATTGCTGACTGATGTTCGGTATCGAGTCTGAGCCAAATCAGGCGGCACAGATTGCAATTCAGTTGGGGCAATCGATACTATTTTAAACATGAGTGAAAGATTTAGAAAACTGTAGAGGCCTGCTGCCGTGCAAGAAAACATATACATCTGACAGTGAACACAAACACAGAAATTACTCTCAGGAAAAAAAAAAAACACATTGTTTTGAATGATTACTTCCACCTGTCTATATGGTGGATAAAATAGGGTCTCGACACAAGTACGTATTCTATTCAATATGAAAACTGTGTAAATTAATAATGTTTTATAACAATTTCATCTCTAATGTTACGATCAGATGGCAACTACTATAGTTTCTTTATCATTTTATAATAATTCTTTGCTCTCCATCTCATTTTGTTTTGTCATTGCGTTTGCACACTGCATCAGGTATCTCCAAGATCCAAGTATTTATTTAGCTTAATTCACACTCCTTGGCTTACAAGCAAAGTCTCAGCAGCACAACAACAAATTGTGTACACATCCGTTTTTTTGTTTTTTGTTTTGTTTTTTTGTTTTTTTACAGTGAAACAGACAGTTTCCACACTCTGTTAGGATTTTGAAAGTTTCCCTGTGTTAAGAAAAAGCTTTTTTCCACAGGGGATACAATACATTTATTGTGTTAACAACCATTATATTGTTTTAACAAGGGGAATGGCACTGCCTTTTCATCCTTCTTCAAAACCCCACTGACTGCAGTGTGCAGTTTTAACACAAAAGTGGCTATGATTTTGTCATTAAACCATTCAACTACGCCCATGTGCTGCAGTTAAAATGTGATTTAAGGAGCCCATTCAATGCCGGAGAGAGAAACAGACACAGACAGAGACAGACGGAGGCATAAAATGAGTGAGAGAGAGAAGAAGAGTCTCAGGCATTGGGATGAAGTGGAGGCAAAAGAAAAAACAGAAAAAGGAGAAAACGGAGAGAGAAAGAGAGAAAGAGGGAGTGAACCAGAGAAAAGAAAAAAGATATTCAAAAGATATCATAAAAAGATATTTGGGGTGAAAAAAAAAATTGTGGAGAGAAAACATAAAAACAAAAACACAAAAAACTAATAAAATGTGTAAAAAATGTATAAGGAAGTTTTTCAGCCTCTCTTTTAGACTTTTTTCTGACAACAAGTAAAAAGATAATGAGTTGAAATTTCATCACGGTGTCTTCAAATTGAGTTCAGTTATCAGTAGTTTCCACATAACTGTTGAATGAACTTCCAGCATTAAAAATAAGTTCAACTTTGTTAGAATATTTTCCATGGCTAAGCTAACATTTTACTGTAGTATATGTTTCTGCCATAAGGATGGACTGTTAAAGAAAACAGACACAAAGACAAAGATGTATGAAAGTAGAAGAGAGGGCCGTGGCCTGTGGGTATAATCCTATAGATGAGTAAGTGGATCGGGCTCGTTGGACAGGGATGAAAACTGGGGGATTGTAATTAGCTGTGATAAATTGAACCGTCACATAATTACTTTCTCAAACCATACCGCTGTTGATCAACACCCCTCTCCTGCCCTCAGGCCCAAAGGGCAGAGACAGAGACAAAAAGAGAGAGCTTAAGAAAGGACAGACGATAAGAGAAAGAAGAGAGATACAGACATGGAGTAAAGTAGAGACAAAGGAATGAAAAGATCAAGTGGGGGAGAGAGAAAGAAAAAAGAAAAAGAAGAGAGGATATAGACAAAAAGCTGTAAATGAGCTCATTTACTTGCTCTCAATATCTCAGCCTCCATCAGGTTTTACCTGCCACTGTGTGAGAAGAATACAGCTTCTCCACAAGCTCATCCCTCTTTCTCTAACAAACTGCCAGCCCAGTGAAAATGTCTAAAGATTTGTAATCTTTTTCATTAAGTGGGATTCCAAAAAATATCAGCTTTAAGAGCAACTGTTTTCTGATATAAATTGTTCAGTGGACAAGAGACCAAGTCTTGTGTCTTTCAAATTTTTATTTTTATTTTTATTTTTACGTACTGATATTTTACAGGATTATTTTATGTGTGTGAATGCAGTGTTTATGACTTTTTTTGATTGCAAACCAGCCCCCAACTGCCCTTGAGGGACAATAAAGTAATTTGAATTGAGGTGATTTGTACTGACTTTCTCAACAAGGAAATGAACTTTTTTTATGAAGCTGCCAGAGTGGCTGTTTGACTTTGAAATTTACCAGTAGCATCTATTATTGACAGTCTAAACACTTCCAGACAGTCAAAGTGAATGAATGAATGAATAACTGACACAAGGCAGAAGAGAAAATGGGAATGAAAAGGCCTGTCAACAAATGCACTGAGGTATGAATAGATGACACTATACAGAGACAGAGGAGAAAAAAGAAATGCAAAGACAAGAGGAAAGACACATTGATCTTTTCACACAGGCCTCTGGGAAGCCAGGCACAAAGACATAAACATACTGAAAAGATAGTGTTCACACGGGACCAAGCAAAAGAGTCTGAATGATTCATTTATTGAGTAATTAAATGAATTGATAAATAACTGAGTTAAAAAACAGTGATCACTTACAGGGGGTCCAGAGGGTCCTGGGGGTCCTTTGCTATCCTGGGAGCAGGTACAGGCATGAGGCATGGGAGGGCATTGCTCCTCAACTCTCTGAAGACACACACGCGCACAACATTTAAACAACACAGAGATATCTCTATATTGCATCAGAATGAATATGTGTGTATCTATTTGTGTGGGTATGTTTAGGCCTGATAACTGGTGTCCTCATGCAGGCACACTACAGACCAGATTTCTGTATGTGCAAAAGAGGACAACATTGTTGACTCTCAAGGTTCTCATTCAGGGAATTTATATCACCTAAATGAAATTATGCACCTGACCAGAAGTACATCTAACAGTGGCCAATGCTAACAGCAGCACATTCAGTACAGATTCCAAGTAACTTGTCTGTAATTCTGATCTCATCATAACTCGGTTTGAATCAATTATCACTCTAATTATCTAAGGCTGTAATAATCAGAGCATTAAACCACTGTGGAGTCAGAGCGGAGAGGAGAGGTAGAAAATAATATTTTGAAGTGAGTGTGAGCATGTGTGTTCCTAAGACAGTGTATTCACATGTTAGTTTCTTACCAATGCTGGCAGTTCACAACACTTATCTCTGCTCGCCCAGGATGTACTGCAGATGATGTCAAACATCTGGAGCTGGAACTATAAACGCGCACACACACACACACACACACACACACACACACACACACACACAACACCACACACACACACACACACACACACACACACACACACACACACACACGCAAATCCCATTAATTCTGAAATTAATATATTATCATTTAACACATTTCAAAATGCATGAAAGAAACAGAGGCAACATTAGAAAAAGAATATCAACCATGGTATTTTGTAATGATGTGGTTTTGTTGTGTGTTTGTGTGTCGATAAGAAACAAGATCACAGACAGTCTGACTGCTTACGAGCTCTAATGACCAGCTGAAAAGTGCTGGAAGATAGATAGACGCAGTCTGGCTGATCGCTTTGACAAACAAAATGAATGTTCTGGAGGCTCCTCCAGTCTTAAACTATAGACTATGCTGTAAATTAGGTCATGGGCTTGTGTCTGATTCATTTCTAAAGTTTGGCATCAAGACTGAAGAAGGTGCCTGCTGACATATACTGTTTATTTTATTAGAAGGGCAGTGTAGAGGACCTACATTTCTAACCATCCAGAAACCAGACATCAACCTTCAGCAAAGATCTATATCAAACTTAATACACATATATATCACAGACACAACTTAAACTATGGAAAACTCCTGCTTAGACTAAATGACTGTGAAACTATTTTATCTATAAGTTATAAGTTAAATACATACAGACACAAACACATGATTACAGACTTGGATGAGATTCTGTCGGCTGGTGGGAAACTGTCCAATAAGTGTTTGTTTTTTTCCCTGCTGCTGTTTCATTTACATAATCATAATCTGTATTGCTTCATATAAACTGGAGGAATCTGCTACATGGAAACATTGTACCTGGTTTGGCCTGATTTAATTTTTACTTGAGTTTACTTTAAATAGTGTTTTATGTATTATTTGAAGTATAGACAGGGTGCCTGAAAGTCTGATGTACAGTAACTGGGTCATTCTTTAGTTAAGCAAACATCCCGGGTTCAGTTAAATTCAAATTGTCAACTCATCTCTTTCAAATGTCAAATATTAAATACTACAAATAGTCCAATTTATTGGAAAATTCATGACAATAATTGAAATGAAATATTTTTAATTCTTTGGGAGTAAAGGCCTTGCAGCCTGTGTGAAATGGTCTTATCCAAGTAATTATAGTCCTATTACAGCACCATGGGTGGGTGTGGGGTGGGGTGGGGGGGTGTTCTGATTTAAAAGAGCTGAGCACTTTCAACACTGAGACCCAGTAGATACATACTTACTGTGATCACTTTGTGGTTTTGACCCAGATTAATAGAAATGTTGGGTTGGCTGATTGAGACCTCGAGAAAAAAATGTGATCATATGATTTAATCTATCCTCACTGATGAACTGTCATTTGTAATCCCCTCAATCAACTCATCACCTGAAGATCCACAGGCTCATGTAACTATGTATGAGAAAAACACTCCGAACTTAAGTCTCTCCAGATAATTAGAAATGTCGCTCATTGTGGAGCCTAAAACAAACCAGTAGTCTTTCCAACAAAACTAGTTCTTCAAGCAAACACATCACTTCTGGCTGCTTCAAAGGACAGAAAGTCAAATTATATAAATTGTGATTTGCATGACGTTAAAAGCAAGGTAAAGCTATGGTTTCATTTTCTACTATCTCTAGAGATCTTCCCCAACATTAAAAAATACAACATATTTTTAATCAATAACCACAGGACCACTTTACCGGCCAGTGAGGGACAATCTGAAGGTAAATGGAGAAAATGTCACATCTTCTTTATTTTCCTTTTGAAAAACCTCTTCATGAAGCATTTTCCAGCTGATAATTTTCTTTGGAACAGGTCAGAAGTATAAATTTACTAATAGCAGAGCTAAGTATTCCCAGAAGCCCAGGATATCTCACCCTCTCCCCTGCCTGTGTGTGCCAAAAGTTTTCTTTGAGTGCCTGTACTACTTAATGGGTTGAGCAGGACTAACAAAGTATATGTAAAGCACTTTGTACATTTCCATTTGCAATAAATAAAATGAACTCCCACTGAGTTCCTCACTGAAATGGTTTTAGATATTTATGGTTGTCATTTTACAGGCCATAATGGTTCACACACACATTGCTGACTTATCGTTGTAATCAATGCACAAGGGGCAACGACAACAGATTGATTCAAGCAAAAATTTAAAATTCTCTCTTTAACTGCGACTCAGGCAAAACTGCTTTTGGAGAAAATATTAAAAACAAGTGTTTAGGTTGATGAATATATGGGTCAGGGTGGGAAATAAATCCTGGCATGTTGCTCTAACTTCTTGATTTTGCTGACTCTTCCATATTCTACTGTCCTGATAATGACTCTATACTTAATGTCTGGAGGATGCACTTCAAATTTTCAAGACCTGAGGGAACCATGAACATACAGGCATGCATTCACCGGATATTCATTGTGCATTTAAAAATAATACAAACAAGTATTCATACTAACCGGAGCAGAGTTGTCCTGTGGACCTCTGGACCGAAACATCCTTCCGAGGACCTCCACTCCATCGGTGGTGATGTTACCAGATGCACTGATGGATTTCTCCCCAACCACAGAACAATCTAACACCACCTTCACAGAAGTCTTACTGATGGTTACATGGAGCTGTGTGGGAGACAGAGAACAGGGTGAATTAGAAATAATCTTGATATTGTGGTATTTTCCAAACCAGAGAAATCGATCAGCTGTGTTACGAGCCAAAAGAGAGAGTTTAAAGAGATACAAATGGGCTGTCCACCACAAACAGAGTTGTAATCTCATTCTAAGTGAAGCATTTTCAGAGGTCCTGCATCTGTGATGAGCCAGAATACTAAACTTAAGACTTTTTTTTTTTTAAATAAACAGAGGCTAAAAGCATCTAAGCACACAAATTAGGCTGTCCAGTCAGAGTGCCTGTGAGCTCACACTGCATCCTTAGAGGAAACCACTGCCAGTGCCATGAACCGTGAAATTCAACTAGTCGCATGTTTAATGAGCAAAGAGGGCTACATCCTGGTGAAGGATTATAATAAACCAGTGTCAACACCTGCATGTTAATCATTATGGGAAGTTTTCTATCACACTTCACGCTCTTTCACGACATCAGTAAAAAAAAAAAAACACCCACACTGTAAGTCATAGGAACATGAATGCATGTGACTGCATACAATGCATACAACTCTCTCTCTATACACACACACACACACACACACACACACACACACACACACACACACACACACACACACGGTGCAGTTAATGTGGAGTTAGACAAAGTTCATATTCGAGTGTCAGCGCCTATTCCTCGGCTGATGTCTGGACGGCTGCTTTATAATGACTTTCTGTTCTCATCCTCCATTCTACACACTTCACTGGGCATGATGTGTGTGTGTGTTTGTGCGCATGAGTATGTGTGTGTGTACTTTTGTGATATAAAAGATGATGAAAATCCTCTAAGGTGCAGACATTTTCCCGGTATTTTGTGGCATTTAGTGGTTTCAGTTAAGGTTAGCATTAGTGGATATGGACTGTACATAGGGAATTGAAAAATGTAACGTATATTAATGTATACTGCATGTTTCCTCTGTGTGTGTGTGTGTGTGTGTGTTTTAAGGATGCCATTCACTCTCCTTCAGGCTAGCTGTTTCCTCCATCTACTCCAGTGGTGACTCAGACTTATTTTTAGTCTAGAGGAAGTTTATTCTTGAAAATTGACAATTCGAACCATTCCTCTGTTCTTACTTTACAGCTACATGAAATCCTGGACAACAGTAGCAGGCGTCAGAAAAGATGCTATTTATTGTATTAGCATTTCTTTTGTTAAGCATACATGTGGCTAACATTTGGGGTTATACAACACTCAATACTCTCTTTACTGTTTCTTTTGAGCTGTATGTTTTACATTAAAGTTATAGTTGAATCTCATAGTGAAGATCAGGGGATTTTATTGTTCTTAGAGCTGTGTCACACAGACTGATTTGAGAAGTCTGCACTACAATACCAAAGAACTAAAAGTCACACTCTCTCATCTTTGGTTTCTTTTTTTTATCTTTAGTCAACTTTCTACACATATTTATGTTGGTCAAGCAGTGAGCTCACTAGGAGAGCAGTTTCTAGCTCAGATTAAAGGTGGAATTAAACACAGTAACCCAGAAGCTGACAGGAGACAAACCTCAAAATTGAGCGTTGGGATCAGTTTTAGCACAACAGAGAAAAGAAAAAAACAAAAGAGCTGACCACAAGATATGAGGATGAAATATAAGACATGTAAGCAGCATAATGTTTTTCACTCTGTGCTGCTGCTGGCAGGTCAGATGGCTGGTCGCAGTCTACAGGATCCATCCACAGCTAATACTGCTGCCAGCAGAAGATGAATTAGCCTCTCTCTCCTTCTCTTTCCCCTCTCACACATATACAGATAAACAGACTTTCACTGTGTTGTATTGTCTAATGCTACTGCTGTCTTACAATCAGCACCATCTTTCTGTAATATAAAGCACCTCATTTGTTTGCATCTGATTGTCAGGTGGTTTTATTTTTCTCTGTGTGAATCAGAATTCTTTTTCCCTATCATTTTTCAGACAAAAGACAAATCACTTCGCATTTCATAAGAGAGAAGGTGACAGTGCTACATTATCTTTGTCCCGCTGCACATACGACTTTGGTAATCTCGCAAACGGAAACAGCAAAAACAGTGAGCTATCACCTTAAATGCAGACTATGTAATTTTCTGCTGCTAGAGGTCTCTCAATCAAAACAATAACAAGAGACTCCAAGTAATGTCTCTTGTAATGTGGGATTCATGGGAGTTGTTTTCTTCACCAACATTGCCGTCATTACAATCAGCTTCTTCCAGTTAGGATTCCTTCAGTGTCAATTGTTACAAAGCCAAACAGACCCAGTGATTAAATCCAGCGAAAACACTGAATAAAGCATCTTCACGTTAATAATCAGTGTTTCTCCGACAAGATGTGTCGGACGGACTGTGAACCAAGCTGCTGCTAATGTTTGCTCATCTTGTTTCTCTGTTCCATACTTCCAATGAATGAAATCCTTCATCTGGTTAAACTTTATAGTTAAAGACGAGTGTATCGTAAAAATGTGGCTTAAAATTGGAAAAATAAAAGTAAATTTTGATTGATGAAACCAACTTACCTTGATTAAAATTAGGGATTTCACTAGGTTTGAAAATGGATGGAAACATTTGGGATAATATAAGTACACAACTCAACAAAATATATAACATAGGTTTGGTCATTTTAACATCTTCATGTGGAAAAGTTACATACTACAGCTTTAATATTATCTTCAAAGACTAGAAATGTCAAAATAAAGCAAAATTGCCAGCAACAGCGGAAACTGTTTTTGTCCAAAAATTTCACAAACTATAGTTTTTAATCTATTGTTTTTAAAATCAAAGCTCATAATTGAATTTCAAGGATCCCCATCTCAACTACAAAATATGGAAGAGAGAAAAAAAGAAGAAAAGAAGGGAGGGCCCAGATGAAGAGGACTGAATCAGCATATTCACTTCATCTCACCTCTGTGAAACACAAAATGAAGTAGTGATACAGTAATGGAACTGGAAAACTGGCACGCAGACAAACACACAAACGTTCAAATTGTTATGGCACTTTTTAAACATGGTGTGAGAGATAATGTGGGGTGAAGCAGATGAGGCTATCAGCATTTCTGCTGACTCAGCTGCTTCTGACCGGCACTTAAAATTGTGCATGTGCATGCTCTCTTATGTATTCTTGATTGAGAGTGTGAGTGTGAAGTGTGAGTGTGAGTGAGAGTGAGTGAGTGAGTGAGTGTGTGTGTGTGTGTGTGTGCATACAGTGCAATTTTGTATGTGAATTGCTGCTTCCAGAGCTTGTATGATTTTTTTTCTGCATGTACACATATTGTACATTCGAGTATTTACATCTGTGCATATATCTATTTATGCATATGAACTTTCTTTTTGCCTGTGTGTGTACAGTATGTGTGTTTTCCCCTTTCCTGTAACTTTAAAGACCTGCTTTCACAAAGACTAAAACTTACTTAACTGACCCACACAAACAAACTGCTCATTTAACTCTGAAGTAAAGTTAGCCCCTTCAGTTCAGTTTGTCTCTGGTGTCCACAACTCAAGCACAGACGTATTGTTATGTGGGGGGGGGGGGGGGGAGATATATAAACAAAAGTTTCATTGCAGCTGGAGACGTGGCCGGTGTTTAATGGCTAACTTGGCAACCGTTACATGTGACAGAAGGTTAGCTTTATATCTCTGTCCCTGATATTTGTGGAAACAATTTCAATGAGTTGTAAACAAATGCATTTTAAGCAAAAGGAAACATCTGCAGTGCTGGCAGAGAACTCATTGGTAATGATGTGACTTTTGAGGTTGATGATATATAGAGATTATTGAGACACTATGTTGACAAGGAAAAGCAGCCAATTTTTTTTTTTTATCCAATTTCACCTGGTTTTAAAATGTAATGTGTACTCACATGCCTTCCACCTGTGCCTGGCCTGCAGTCTCTCTCTGTGTGTGAGTGTGATTGTCTGAGTGGAGACAGGTGTGCTGGAGAAGAGCAGAGCCCCACCACCTGCATCCTATCCTGCAATCAAGACCTCTGCAAATACCCAGCTCTGCCACTACCACTGAGCCAGATTGTAGTGACTGTAGAGTCTGCGCTCAAGTCATTCAACGATATACTCAGTCTCATTTCTCACTGCCTGTTGCTCTCCTCTCCTCGCAGTCTCGTCTGCTCTGCTCCAGCTCTTGTCTCCAGCTGCTCGTCCTGTCAAACCTGCTCCTCTGCCCTGGACCCCTCTTGGCTCAGCTTCCATTCTCCGGACGCTTTACACGGCACGACCAGCCCAGTCACATGTCCCCTAAACACCTATTGGCCGAAGCTACAATTTACAGATGTCCCCTTAACGCCTCACATGCCGACAATTGGCAGATGCTACAATTTACAGATGGGGCGACAGCAGTGCACTGTATAGAGTCTTTATGTGGGGATTTATAGCTGTCACTGCACAATGTGCCAATACGAGGGGTCATCGGGGGGCCCCAGGCATATGACTGGTTTGCCTCTCCTGCACCTCTGCCCTGTGTGACGACCCCTGGGGTCCTTGTTGTTTTGGGATCCTTTTTAATAACCTGTCTCCCTTTGTCTACAGCAGTTCATCTGGAACACCTGTGTGTTCCAGAGTATATATAAGTCTATATAAGTATATAAGTCTTGGCTGCCTACTTATCTCTTTCTGCTCCTCTCCACAGGCACACCTCCTTCCTTTTGGGTTTGGATATGTCTTAGTTTAAGCCTTGTTTAGTTTTGCACACCTGCACTCACATATCCCCCTCATGCACACAACACACGTTCCAGGCGTTCCACACCTCGTACTCAGAACATTTACTTTGGTCTCTTTATTTGGTTTAATTTAGTTTAATAAAAAATTCTTTATTGATCTTAACCATGGTTTGTCACCCTTTTGTTTTGGTCACTTGAGCCAGAGTCATAAAACCCTGTAAACATTTTTCTATTCCACTCCAGTCTCCCCACATTCCTGTGTTTTGCACTTTGTTTCACTAGCCTAGCCTAGCCTTAACAAATTCTTAACAAATTCATAACAAAGCTGTGGGCCTGCAGGTAAATTCAACCTGCTTTATACAAACTGTTAAGAGCTTGAAAACATGAACACTATGTAAATATTCCAAAAGATTAAGACACAACAAAATTCTCCAGTGTAATTTCACACATTGAGATCTTTGCTTCTAACTGGATTAATCATGAAGTGGTTCATCATCAGGGCAACAAATTACCACCATCTCACCTTCATCCATCCCAGATCTGTTCTTCCAGCAGATACAACATTTATTTCTAGTTGCTTTTGTCTCTCTATTATTTGCTCTTCTTTCCAAGAAACTACCAACATTAATGCCTTCACAGAGGCTTTATAATAATCATTTATGGATGAATGGAATAACCATGAATTTTGAATTTCACTGTGAAATATTGTGGATTGCTGTAAGCTAGAAAGCTGCAACCGCACTGGAGCAAATTTCCTGAGTGTAAATTTTTATAGCACACAAGGACAGCTTTAAGTGCTCGCGAGCAGTTTTAATAGGAGGCATTTAATCATTTGGGAGGTACAAAAAAGTGCTCATACACTTCTGGAGATTAATATGGCCCTAAGCAATATGTGAGTGATACTGAAGATAACTTCAACTTCTCTCTATGACTACACATCTCTCTGTTTGTCTCTATACGTCTCTATGCTGTATTTCTCTTTGTATCTCAGATTCTCTGCCAAATCTATTTCTCTCCCCCCGCCCTTCACCTGTTTCTGTTTTTTAGGTTTCTGTGTTTGTGTGCACTTCGCTGAGCAGTGACAGATCCTGCTGGGTATCCCTGCTTTCACATGAAGTGTCTTCATATGGTAATCCCTTTAGAGCGGACACACACACACACACACACACACACACACACACACACACACACACACACACACACACACACACTCCTCTTATTCACTTGTCATCCTGTCTAAACACAGACGAACACTTCCTCTGGCCAGGCAGTCTTCAGCATCTGTTCCCCCTCTCAACATTGTCATGTTCTCCAACAGAAAGACAGAAACCAATGGAGAAGACAAAAGGCACTGAGAATGATGGACAGATACTCCCTGACATTTTGAGAATTGAGATAAAGACAGACAGTGAGTTGGTGGGCTGGTGTTGGTTTGTTTTCAACAGAAATCCACAGAGTCCCAGTAAAGAAACTACACAACAGAAGCTGTACAGGAAAAAATATATTGTCTAGTATATATAAAGACTTTGTCCATTAGTTTTCAAGTTATGTTTCCATCCATTTGTCAAGTAAATGTTAACCTCTCTTTTAAAATATAACAAAACAATACATGCAGATGTCCCTGTCCATTAGCCCTGCTGAGGTAAATATACCTCTAGAACAACTAAAGCTAATTCAAAGGACGCGTCCATGAAGACAAAAGAATTGATTATCATTCAGCAAGTTGCTATTATTGCTTTGTGTGGGCTAATGTTGTTGATATTTCATTTGGAAAAGTGTTTTGCAATGTGAATTACTCATTCACTGGGCCCATTGGGTCCAAACCAATGTCATTATTTATTCCGTAGAGGCATTTGCATCACCATTTATTCCACAATTTCTTTTTTTCACAGAACACTTTCTCATCTCAAGTGAGCAGAAAATTGTCTTTCACTGAAGGAATGTCATCAAAATTTGCCACTTCCATTCAGTCAGACTAATTTGATACAACATGATTTACATAAAAAAATATTTGAATAGAATCCGAGTGATTGAGGAAAATATGAAATGTCTTTGTCAGAGAATTGGTTGAAAGGACAAACTAATATTGTGTGGCTCTGGTGGTTCCAGTCTGAAGTCAGTGGTGAATAGAAATAACAACAAAATCACTGAAACTACACTAGGGATAAATATGGTAGAATTTATGGCAATTAAAACATGGTATTTGCTGTGAACATCTCTGGAGGTATTACATTTTGTGACACTGAATTAAAGCTTGATAAAAGGACCACAGTGACCACTGAGTAATCAATCGATTTTATAATTAATTATTTATTGTATAAAATGTCAAAAATGTGTACTCTAACTTCATTATGAGAGAGAGAGAGGTCTTATAGGGTGATGAAACCTGCAGTTTCACTCCCACTCTGCTCAATCCACTAGTTTAAAAAAAAGAGTGAGGAGTGGGAGAGAGAGACAGAAGAGGGAGGGTGAGTATCATCACCTGCACACACACACCACAGCAGTGGTGACAGGTCAGGAGAAAATTTCCACTGGAGCCACTGGAAAACCACCCAACAGGCTCCAAAACTTCAAAAACATCAAAATACAGTAGATCTTCCTTATTTTTTCTTTTTTGTCTCTTTCCCAGCGGCTTGCTGGAAATATTCCTGCTCCCTCTGTCCCCTTCTGCTCTACAGAGTTTCAATGCAGCATATCTGAATATTTATCTGAAAAACTACAACCCAAGACTTGTAATGAGGGTTTGTCAATGTGAACCTGATGTTATGCAAACTGGTAAATGTAGTCACTGTGAGGCTAACAAGGGTTTTCAAGTCAATGTGATTGGTGTTGAAGTGGTTCCAGTTTTGAAGGACTTTAACAACCCAGTAGCACAGAATCAAAATCTCTACCTATACTATAATATGAAACAGAAGCAAGATGAATCAGTTTTATCATTTACCTTTCAATGTCGACCAATCAAGTCATTTTCAACAGACATATATTGAAGACTCACCTTGTGGAAGCTCCCATGGAAAATCTTTTTGATTTCTGTTCCTTCAAATGTCACAGTCTGGAAGTCTCCTTTGTAGTCATAGTTGAAGAACGTCAAGGTCTTTCCAGAGTCTGTGGGGAGACAGAGGGTAGAAAAGGTAGATGTTCACATCAAGTAGAAATTGCCTTGTACTGATGCTATTAGATTCCAGTAAAGAGCTGGTGTGTAACAACAGTGAACCCGACAACATGTGCATGACAATAGGACAACCATCTTTGTGCTGCTCTGCTGTTAATCTGCGAAGATTCATTTTACTACTGAAAGAGTACAAACTTCCTCAGATCTCCTTTCAATTGAGACACTTAAATGATTCAGTTTCATTGTGACATAAACATGAGAGTCATTTCTATTTTTTCACCAAGCACTGAATGCAGCCATCAGGGGGCAAGAACATAATCCCATCCTCCGCATTATTCTAATAATATATGCGATGTAAGTGGCAACCAGAATCATGAGTTTGCAACATGTCAGTGAAAACTAAACACAGAGACACATTATTACTAGAGGATTGAATTGAATTGAATACAGACGTCAATTCTTGCTGTTGATTCCCAAAAAAACTTGGTGGAGGAGTTTATTTTATGGTTCATGTTGGCGTAAGCGTGGTGGTACAACTTTTATTAAAACGCTGTGAGCTTATCTGAAATCTCTGGATCAATGTAATACAGGTGCCATCATCCATGTTTTCTTCCTTTTGTTTTAGTCCATGAAACCGAACCCAAGATACGATTCGATTTTTTCACCCCTGCTTAAGCTGTGTCAGGGTCAACAGGGAAAGCAGAGCAGCCAAAATGCAACTTCCTCCAGCTACTCCTGGGGTTCCCAAAATCATCAACGACAGCTGGTAATATAATCTCCACAGCAGGTCAGAGGTCTGCCCTGGGTCTCCTCCAAGTCAGTGGTGTCCAAAACACCTCTAAAGGTTGACGCCTGCGGTGAGTTCACCTAGTGTGCAGTGTTTCTGTGACATCGCTTATCATCGTCTGACACAAACACAACCACTGCACTGTGGTCGATCTTATGACACTGTCATTATTCATCATCTGCTTTGGCTTTTAAAAAAACTGGCTTCATGTCAAATCAAAGAGAAGAGCTCAGGTGCAATGTAAGTGGAAAACTTTGCCCATCTAAAGCCACATTATAATGGATCAAAAATGTAGTTATACCTCAGCTGTAATTAGTCGTTTCCCTCAAGTCTCACTTCTAATCTGTTGAATTTATCACTCTCTTGGTTCATTTGGAGGAGTTGGGAATGCAGGAAACTCAAACGTGCTGTTTGAGTTTGTACTTGTCAAACTGTGATATGTTACGATACAGGTGAGAAAAAAATATATATAAAGAAGCAAAACCACAAGTGATTCAAACTCACTGTCCAGGATTAGTCCCACCAATGGCTCTTTGTCTTTCTTGAGGATTTCCCACAATGCAAAGGGCTCCTGCGGGGTCTCCGGGAGTAGGCGGAGCATCATTGAAATGGTGTAGTCAGAGGGTAAACCTTCAGGGTGAAGGTACCTGGTAGACATGTGAAAGATGAAAGAACAGACACACAGACAGACACACAGACACAGACACACACACACACACACACAGACACACACACACACACACACAGACACACACACACACACACACAGACACACACACACACACACACAGACACACACACACACACACTGTGCCCTACAGGCATATATCTACTAGGTGTCTTCTTCAAAGTGCCATTGTCTCTTTTCAGCTGATGTGAATGCTTTTAGAGTTCTTTGGCTGCCTCGGTCTCTCTTTGAGTGCCAGCCACTTTTTGATCAGTAAGCCTTTGCCTTTTTTTGTGCAGTTGCCTCTGAGCACTTCAGGTTCAAACCATCTTAGCTTCAGCTTTTCAGAGCACTCATCAACGTCACTTTTCACAAACTGAACAATCTCAGAACAGGAAGCTATATAAAGGAAACTGATATCAACCAAGAAAAAGCTCCTAAAATGACAACATCACAGAAGGAAAGACTTTATGGGAGCACAACTGTAGGCACTGAATTCTCGTGTTAAGTTTTTGTATGCATGGGTTTTATATTGGAATAAATCCCTGTGGTATAGTGCTAAGTAAATCATAATGCTTCTAACCTGCATTTGCAATTATCTCTGAGAATGTTTTCAAATCATTTATTTCCACCTTCTGTAAATGCTATTAATTACAAACAGTCGTGGTCTAAATCCGCAGTTTGAAACCCAGTTGAAATGTACAAGGTGAACTCTTAATAAAACTGGAAGACACGACCTTAGTCTAATCAAACTAAATTTTATAATAGCTCCTACCAGGGTTTTGGTGTAGTTTCTCTGTTGGTCTGGTCAGCTAAGTCAAGCTGAGTTATTGATACTAATAATTATGTATTACACTAGAAAGAAGAGTCTCTTCCATGGGAAACTACAGGGCATTAAATGTGCAGTAACATCTATTATTGCATGTACTGTATCTATGTTTTTAGCTTTTTGTATTTACTGTAGCCACTGTCAGTTGCTGCTGACATGTTATGAAAATGTTGGAGATGCAGTTTTTACAGTTTGTGATCATTTTGGAAAAAGATGCTTGCATGATTCAGCTCTGCTGGCCTGAAAAAGAATGATCTGAAATTGCCAATTTGCTTCCTGTATTAATTGGCTGTAGGAATTACAGGGATTAGTGAAAACGGCATGTTTAATGTATTACTGCAATAATCTGATTCCGCTCAGTGCTTTTATTAAATTTCCTTTTACTGCAAAAATGCCATGATTTTTTACATAACTGCTTTTTCTAAAAGTTTTGAAAATAATGAAAGGCTTTCTAATCTCTTTCTAATTCTATCTAATGGGCACATAAACTGTATTTACATTAATTCATCAGATAAATGTGTCATTCAGAGTCAGGCGACAACATTTGGAAATACAGTCTTACTTCAATATTATTCTTATAGTGAAAAATGATTAAACCCTGGCAAAAGGCAGAAATTCTATAATCTTCAGGATCACTCTTTGTGGTTGTTGGAACTGGGGACAGGTACTGTTTGTGGAACGTGCAAGATAACATAACAACAAAGCCCAGGTCCTATGAGTGGGACTTCAACCCTTGTGTGCTAAAAGATAATCCAAACAAAGATAAAGGGAAAATCTTGTGTATCTTAGTTCTCCAGTAGTTTGCTATCAGCCTGAAAGTCAGGTTCATTTTCTTTGGCAGGACTGTTGCATAGTTCTGTGTACACTGCTGGCTGATAATTCAAGGTCCTGTGGTGTTTGTGTCCTGCTGACCATTGACAGTGACCACTCCCCATGTCCAGAGAGAAGAAGGGAGAATCACTTAGCGAGCAAACACTGACGGAGTAACAGTAGAGAAGGATCAAAATAACTCTGTTCAACAAAGGGGAAACTTAAGGTTAAATAGGAGTGAGCTGGATTCACTTTCATTAATGATGAAATACTTAAACTTAAATGATAGGGAAGTATGCTGGGTAGAAAGAATTATGAGTGACTGGTTTCTGGTGCTATGCATCTAACTACTGGAAATAATTAACACAAACCACTTTTTACCTTTTCCAACTTTTTACCTGCCCCCAGTTCTGGCTTTGGTTCTGATTGTTTTAACAAATGTGTGTGAGGCTGCTTGTTTTTGTGATACTGCTATTTATAACCTTGTGTATGTGTAATTTGTTCTCAGGTGTCTCTTGCAAAAGACGCCTTGATCTCACTGGCACTTGAACAAATTGAACTGTCACTGAACAAACTGCCACCTCCAGCTCTGTCTGGGGTCACTTACTTTGTATGCCAGTATAGCCGACCACACAACACGGGTTGATCTATATCTATGTATATGCTGCCAGGTAACTTTGTGAATATAGACGTGTGGCTTGATCAATTGAGTCTGTCTAATATAACAGCCCTGCAATAAATCTTACCTCTAAGGTTATAATGTTAATGGTTATAACGGCTATGGTGCACAATTTTATGGTTTGTCAATTGAAACAGAGGTGTGTTTTCACATTACTCCATCTTACTGTGGATGTGGCGTTACTCACTTGGTGGGCTGTGACACCAAGGCGTCACGGTGTAACCTGTAACAGGGGAAGCTGTTGAACGACCCCGGCTCCAGAGAAACTCCTGGTATCGTGCTGTACTCCTTCTCTACCAGGCCAAACTTCTCCATCATACGGAAACCTGCAAGAGACAAGTCATCATCATCATTATGTTCATTGTCATTATGTTATTGCCATCATCATCATTAGCTCTCCATCCAGGGGTCTGATACAGTAGATGGGCTTGTACAGTCTATTTTTCCCATTTTTGTACTTCTTACCTGCCATGGTGTTACCACTCATCAAAACAGACGGACAAGCTGAAAGACAGAAAAGTGTCTGTTAGTTCATCTGTAAGATTTTTTCTCAACCATAAAATAAATCATTCCTTCTCTCTCTTCTCTGCTTTGGTCATTTTTTATGTCTCTCCACTAACTACAGTCTTTGCTCAACGTTTGCATCTTTCTGCTACCCGACTTTTCTGATCTCTCTTTCCTCCATAGCTCTGTTTTAAACATAAGGTGGTGCTACTCACTGGCAGTGGCGGCCTCGCAGACAAAGGTAATGAGCTGTTCTTCTATTTTCTTCACAGCATCCAAATCGTCCACAAAAAAGACGTGTCTATCACTGGGCTTGCTGGCGATATTCACCAGCTCTCCGTAGTCCGCGTCCGCAAAGCCAATGGCAAAGATGATGTAGTCTGAGAACGGAAATAAACAAGAAGATTCATTACAAGTTAAAGGAAATTGATAGGTTTAAATAGCCTCATGGAACACATTATTAGTTATGGATTTCAAACCAATGGTTGAAGAGGTTGATAGCCGGTAACAGTAAAATGTGACAGACAGTTCATACAGCATCCAAGAACTGGCAGGTTGAATGAGGCTCTTTCTTCATGTTGCCTGTACTGTACCAACACACATAACCTACCCCGTCAATGTCAACAAATCACATACTGTACATCCAGTGTCAACAAATTATGATTTCAAGATTTTCCCAGGGCTTCAACCAACTACCAATAACTCTTATTACTGTGTTTGGTCTATAAAATACTCACCCTCCATCTGCATCTCCTTGGACACTTTGTTGACATCATCTTGTGAACGCCCGTCAGTCAGGACAACCAGGACCTTAGGGACGCCCCGTCTGGCTCCGGCCTCTGGAGTGAAAATGGACTCTTTCACATGTTTGATGGCCCGACCTGACGGAGGACAAAAAGCAAACACTCGATTTAGAACAGCCAGAGTTTAGATGCTTTTTTTTTTCTTCGACCTTGCAAGTCCTTGATTTCCATTCATTTCTGTGAGACTGTAAAATTAATTTGCAGAGACTTAAATAAAAAAAATGAAGACAATCACAGCAAGTATTATGTCAGCTTTTTTGTCAAAATTTAGTTACATTACACAAATACATGCAACAAAACATGGCTTTGTCACCGTAGCGCACTAGAGTAACACTTATTTTGGTTGTCAGCTGTTTCCAACATGCTTCACAATCATTGCCTCATTCACTGCTGTGTGACTTGTAATATCCAGGCATATCAATGCAGGTGTACAGCACAGATATAAAATCTGACACTTCTGATCACTATAAGGCTCATGCCAATGCTGTTTGCTGACACATCTCCCTTGCTTGATGTGACTAAGATTAAATGTTCATGTATGGGGAGATTAGTGCTCTCAGCAGAATACTCTTCGCTGTTTAGATTCTGTTAGCTCCCTCAAATAGTCGAGCCTTTTCTGCCAAATCTAACTGTGTAACCAGTTGCTGTAACTGGTCAATTCCTTTAATGTACAGTGTCTCTCAATGACCAATAAAACCTCTGAGAAAAATAAATGCTGTCAAGATGTTTACTGTCATTATTGAACTCCAACCATTCTCAAGTTAAGATTATTTCATTCTGTAGTGAAATGAATGTTAAGAATTGGCTGCCGTGAAGGAAAAAAAATACAAAAAAAAAATGTAAGAGGAAACCACACAGCATGCTTGGGAACATGGCCAGTGGTGATGTAACATATACAGTCATTGTGCATACACTAAAAATATGTGAAACTACTAGTATGGTCCTTTAGCATACGTGGCAGTCCACATATTACTCTTACTGTTGTACTATGTTCTGATGTGAAGCTTAATTTTTTTAATTGGTGCAACATTTTGGAACAGATGAATGCTTCAATCAACTCCTGTGCCTACATTTTTTCCCATGTGAGGCTGGATGACGACAAATGCTTGGCAGACTAAACTTATTGGATGCATGATTGAGCTCATTAACAATCTAAAAATGTCCTTTTCCACACCTGTTACATGGAGGTGAATGCATGAGACCTTTGCTACAATTTTAATGTACTTACTAATTAAAAACATGTATTATTTATCCTTCCACTGACATTAATAAAATACATTACTGACCCCATAATTATTACATGAAAATGAGTGACCTGAAATCCCAGAGTGCCCATTAGCATTTAAAGTATGTCAGAAAACAGACAATGTCTTATGTATTTTAATGGGATCTAAACATAGAGAGATGAGAAAAAGGAAAAAGAAAAAGATTAAAATGTCACCAGTCTGTAGAAAAAAAAACCCATAGAATTAGATGAACTCTTCACAGTGTGCAGGTCACCTGCTAATGGAATTAATCAGTCAATAAAATCTGTCCGGACAGTTTTAAAAGGTTTCAAGACCCACCCACAACAAGTAACCAAGATGTGTCAATGCACATTTGTCAGTGGATTTAGGGATGCCTTGTGTGTGTCATTATGTTTCAAGCCCCCTCAGTTTTGTAAAATTAAATTCAAAACAGTGAGTATATTGCTGAGGTGAAATCAACTTTGTGCTCAATTATATATATTTTTTAAATATATATAGATATATATATATATCTATATATATATTTTTTTTATTAATCTGCCTCCAGATAGCTCTTTTGCTGCTGAAATGTGAAGACAACCTGATGAATGACGGTCAAGTACAAGGTATAATCACATCAAATAACAGGAAAAATTGACCCATAATGTGTCCTTCATGACATGAATTGATCTAAACTGTAAAGACTTCACACATACTGTATACAGTATATGCAACAACATGTGTTAGTCATTTCGTGCATGCAAACCAATAAGCAGTGTCCTGATCGTCATCACACACAGGTAGGTAATTTCTATTTAATGCCAATATTTGCATACTGTCCATCGTGATGTGCATTAATAGTTCATGTAGCTCATCTACTCATCTCCACCTGACCTTTTCATAATCACATGGACAATTGCTGCCATTATTCCTCTCTACTCCTTTTGTCCTTTTACACTTTCTCCTCTCCCCACTTCTTGTGTTTTCAAGAGCGTGCCACAGCTGTAAAGAGAGGAGTATCTGGGAGTTTTGTAATAAAAACAAAACCATATGAAGCAGTAAATGGTCCATAAGTTGACTAACCACTTATCATACACAGAGTGTATGGCGTAAACAGCTTTAGGTGTATGGTGTCTTTGTCTCCCAAATTCTAAATAAACCAAAACCCTTCAACCACATCTTTGCCTCCTTTTTTCACTGAGCTGTCAGTGATAAAAAATGATAGAGTGCTTGGCCTGTAAAGTGTTGTGTTGTCAGATATCTGCCAGTGATACATCTGTTTCTACACTGTCTTCTGATCATGCTGGACGAGGCTTGAATTACAGCAGCTAGCCAGGCATGAAGTGAGACACAGGACCGAGCAGAGGAGAGGGGAGATGAGAGGGAGGAGCAGTGGGTGGAGGCGCTGAGTGGGTGGTGGAGGAAGGAGGAAAAGAGCAGGTAAGAGGGCATAAAAAGAGTGTGTGTGTGTGTGTGGGGGGGGGGGCAGAGCATGTATGGAATGAGGGTGAGAAAAGAAATTAACACAAAACAAACATGTCAGTGGATGTTTGGTTGTGAAGCCCGTCCTCAATCAATCGATCCATCATTTTGCATGTGTGAAGTAATCCTTGTCAGTTTGGATTTGGCCTCCTGTCTGGCAACAGTTTACCAGTTTTCTTGCTGTCACTGAAGAGCGGAAACAATATGAGAATGTAAAAATAGTTGAAATCATCTCTCCCGTTTTAGCATCCAAAGCCTAGGTGCGACATAATGAAGTAGGAGACTTTTTTTCCCTTTTCTATTGTGGCTGCAGGTGAAATCTGGATGACAAGGAAGAGGCTGTAATATTCTCTCTGGGTGATTATGAATGGAGAGAGCTATAAAATCCTTTAATCTTTGACAAGTTACTGTATGTTCCTAAGAACGATTTGAAAAAACTTCTGGATAATCAAATGCATTGCTGAAAATACACAATAGATTTTCAATGTGTTTTTTATAGTCAGTGAAACCCATTCAAGGGCCATTCACACATTCACTCCTAAACTCATAAAAGACTCATAAACCCTTGGAAATTGAGTGAGGGTCTCACACAACTGCATTACTACAGTTGAAGCAGGAAGAAATCAGTCTAGCTGCTAAAGTATAATCAGAGAAGGCAAATAACATCCTGACTAATCCAATGTGTGAATATATTACTAAAAAGTTAAGGATTAAAAGTAACCCTAGTTTACATATTGTAAGTCACGTTGTCCCTGGATACACACATATAGTACACACACCTGGAAATCAAACACACCTTTACATTTGCCCATAAGCAGACACTGCAACCCAGTTCCTCTATCTGTAGGCCTATGCACTGTACAGTCAAGCAGTGTCAGGGATTAGCATGAAAATCAATCTCAAAAGACACACACACACTCATATACATCCACTACAGCACAGGGATAAAGACTATTACAGCAGCAGCTACATTAAATCAATCATTCACCAAGCCAGTCAGAGGCTCACTAATGCCTTAATGAATAAATGCATAGTGAAAAGCCAAATCCCAGAATATCAGCTTCAGCACCATGAATCCTCAGCATGCCCTTCCCTCACACTCAGAGAGGGTATACAGGAAAAAAAACTTACTGTAGAGACTTAAAGAAGGCAGCATCATTTACATACTGTTTGTAAAATGGGTATAGAGAAGAGGCTTATGACTAGAATTTGGCTCAGAAGCTGAATAAGTAGCTGTCCCTTCTCCTTAAGCAACAACCTCTGCAGTGCCATTGAGCAAGAAACTCCTGTTGCCACAGCAGCAGCTCAGTAGCTGGCTGTGTGAGATGGTGGGGTTAGTGGGAAACTCCCAGAATGCAGAATGAAGCAGCAACCCACTTTCTGATTAACAATACAATTTCATCTAAAAAAGAAAAGAAGAAAGAAAATCCTCTTTGATACTGATAGAACTTTTCAACTTTACTGTGAATCCATGTTTAGTTTTGAGTATGTTTTTAAAATCTGATTTTGATGGGTTTGCTTGACCTGGGGGGTTTTTGGACAGAGGGTGTAAAGTAAGCTAGCAATTTACAGTAAAAACATAAAAAGGCATTGAAGCTATGGGGTTACTTGTTGGCTTCTATGCAGATATATCTGCCAGAGGCTACGGGTTAAAGAGGCAGAAAGCTACAGCCTTTTATTTGAGGGCTTTGGTGGATTTAGACACAGTGAGGGGCCCTGATGGGGTCTCTGAGGAAAATTTGAGGTTGACGAGTGAAAAAAGGAAATAGTTTAGGGTTTGGAGAGTGAAAAAGATTTTAGGTTTGTAGTGCGAGCCTCAGTCAGAGCCAGAGACACTAGTAGTCTATGTTTCAATGGACCAAAGGAGTAAGATGTAAGTAAGGAGGTTTGGGCACAAACTCTAGACGTACTGTACACAGCTCTGTTAGTGTTCGCCTGTATAGTTAAAACACTGGTGCATTATGTTTTAGAGCCGTATTAGTGTGCAGAATCACAGAGGAAGAGAAAAAATATCAAAACTCAAACATAAAAAAGCCTCATTAAACAAAGGAAGGAAATAATCTCCACCTTGGCCTGAAGCAGGAGCAATGAAAAAACACAGACATAGAAAGAAACAATAAAATTATTTGCTTATTTTGTTGAATAAATTGTATAAAATAAAATAAAAACATACACATATACACATGAACTAAAAATATATGCTGTGTGGGCTTCTATGGTGGAATAAGGACAGCCTGAAGAATAGACACTATGTTTGCGCAATTGAAGGAGATTAATTCTATGTGTACGCATGTGTGCATGTGTGGGTGAGAGACAAAGAGATAGGGGGAGAGGGAGACAGAGAAACTGTGAGTCGGTGAGCAGTAGCCTAACCTTTAGAGAGCGAGCTGCCTCCTCTCTCTCTTTGTGTGGGGAGGATGATATTTCATGGTTTATTTTCTATTCTCTTGTAGACTGTATTCACACACACACACACACACACACACACACACACACACACACACACACACACACACACACACACACACACACACACTGCCCTGTCAGCTAAAACACCACCTGTTTCCAACCGTTAAACTACAAGACAGTACAGTAGGTGTAGGTGTATAAGGGGTAAATGCACAGAAGAAGGAAAGACAAAAGAGAACATTTAGAAAGAAGGAGGGTTGAAGCTTTAAAGGGTTGTCACCAAAGTGAGGGAGGAGAGGACAGTCAGAGGTTGGCAAAAGAGCAGAGGAGATGGACAAGAGGACAGAGGAGAAAGAGGAGTAAGAAGAGGGAGGAAGGGTTAAGTAGTGAGATGATCAGCACTAGAGCTGATAGGAAAGCTCAAGGACACAATTACTCTGAGCAGACACCGAGCCATGACCCAGACTTTAGAAGAGTTTAAGTGCTCTGAACAACCAGCATTACCTGTAAATCCACATTAATGGCATTCACCTTCTATGTACTAGCACAGCTGCAGACATGAATTTTACTAACGATTCACAACCCAAAGTGCTTGTTAGAGATCAGGACCCCTTAAAACGTCTCCTCTCTGCAGTAGCCTTTGTGATATTTTCAACAAATGTCCTAAATCAGGGGAAAAGTGTCTTTTTCATGGAGATCTTCCAAATCCGACAACATACTTTCTTCAAGTTTTCTCATCAAGGCTAGTTCTGGTAAGTTGAGGTTAAAAGTTCATTTTTGACCTTGGAAACAGCAGTTGACAAAGAAAAAATCTCACCACAAGGTCCATTAGTTGCTGCTGAGTTTTAACTGTATCACACAATCTTTCTCCGCAAATGGAGGCAGTCCAGCTGTCGTTTAAATGTAGATGTAAAAATTTTGGACAAATGATTAAACGCTCCAGACCAGCTACTAATGGACCCTGTGGAGAGATTGTTGTGTAAACCTCTGATTCCAAGGTCTAGAATGAACTTTCAATCTCAGCTTTTAAGACAGCATGGATGAAAAAGACGTCCCCTTGGAAATTTGAACATCTTCATCTTCCATGACACATAGGCAAACTGAGGAAGATTGTGTAATATGATCAAATGCTCCACAACAATGGACCTTGTGGTTAAGCTTATTTTGTCGACAAACTGACGTCCATTAGACTGAGGTAACAAACTGACATCTGGATTTACCTGTCTGGTTGCACTGCATGAACAATTATTGCATTAATCCCACTAATGCACTGTCCTGACCTGTCTTGGTGTTTCCTCCTTTGTATCTGATCCTCTGAATAGCCTCCAGCAGTGCTTCCTTGTTGCCATGGGAACTCAGCTGGAATTCTGTCCGAGCATCGTCGCTGAACTGAGCAATGGCCACCTGGAGAGAGACGGAGACAGACAGACAGACAGACAGACAGATAAGTGAAATAAGTTCAGAGCACATGTCAAATCAGATTAAACAAAGCTAAACAGAACCATTTTCTTTTTGCACTTGCTCTAAAGGGACAGTTCACCTAAAAATTCAAATTCAATCATCATCTGCTTATACTCATGTCAGTGACAATACCACTGCAATGTGTTCCTATATTTGAGCGCTCAGGTTTGTTTCATCTTCTTCCAAAACAAAAAGCAAGAAGCCAAATGACTCCATGCGGCATTGTCTGTGTGTTATGAAGCCAAATGACTGTGCTCTGGGTCCAAAAATCTAATACTTTCCCTCATTATCACCTGCAATTTATGCATTTAGTCTGAACAGCAACAACAGCATCAAACAGATGCTACCTTTGTTCGCTCACGGAAATACTGTAATTATACAAATTGCGCGTGCTTAGACAGCCCCGCAAAGTGAGCACTGTACAGATGGGAAAGTTAAACTGTACACGAGAAGGCAGAATTTGACATTTTCATAGTTTAACGTTAAGGTTTAATAGGTGAAAGCAGTAATGGGACACAGATTTGACCATTTGTCATCTGTTCAGCACTGGTGGTCATAGCAGAGAAAGTATAAGTTCATGATGTCAAATGGGAATATTACAGACTTGTTTTATGTAAGTCTCTAGGTGAAAATGCACTAAAATATATATATGTTCACTCTCCCGAATCAGAACTATAATCAATCTAATTGCCTTACTCTAAGAGGAGCGAACAACTATCATTACCTCCAGACTGCTAATAGTGCTGTTCTTGGCTCAGGGCGGCCTTCATTCACCAGCCAGCTCACTCCTTACTGTACAGCCAAATCTCTCACATTACAGCCGGTGTTTTGCTCTTGGTAGCCTTGTGCCAGAGGGTTATTGGGGCACGGCGAGGGTAGCAAACTGCTTAACAGCAGACATTACACAAATGAAAGAAAAGGGTCTAGCAAGCACCTCTACAGTGTGACAAATGAACCAGCTGAGCTCTGCTGACACAGTAGGGGGGCCATGCAGGCAGGAAACACAAAGAAATTAGTTTCAAATGACAATAGCGAGCTACTGCCCCAAGTTAGAGCCTGGCGTTACCTAATGATGAACCGAATACATGAGAAACATACTGAGGCAGTGGAGATGGTAATAGCCACTGAGGTAACGTGGTTTAGTATTACTTAAGTTCCGTAAGTATCACTCATGGTGGATTTTACACTGAGGATCAAGCTGATACTTGAACCATTTGATATTTATCCCAGCTTTTACTGCATCTAGACTTAATTTATTAAGACCACCACTCCTGCCAGAGAAGTAATGTTTTCTGGCACAAAACACAGCGGCAGCAAATGAGTGGAGTTAATCGAACACTGCTCAGCAACAAAAAGGCCTTCCAGAGAGTAAAGATTGACTCACTAGGGGTTTTAAAGTTCTCTCTCACTTTTCTTAACTTTTCTATAGATACATATAGATGTGGTCATGCTGATTTCTAAGGGGACAGACCAAGAAAACTGGGTGAAATTTCTGCCTCATCCTTCCAGTATCAAATAACGGCAACAGCAGCAGGCTTCCTCGAACAATAAATGAGTCAAAAGGACATGGGTCAAAAGGAGGAGGATTCTTCAAGATTCATATTTTGGGCAAATGTCCATAATTGCTATTTTGGTCTGAATGTCTGATGTAACAGTGAGAATGGAACGGAGAAAAGAAGGAGGAAATAGCTTGCAGGTTACAGAAAGCAAGCTGCAGATCACGCTCCATTGTTTCATTATGGATATACAGCACCCAGTGTCCTTTATTCCTTTATCTACTGAATGAAAGTATAGTTTCAGGGACATTTGTGAGGAAATTAAAACAATTTTTTCTTCCTCCTTCTCTTTCTTTGAATAGCTGGAGGTGAAATGGGTTACAGCATATGAAGGAGGGAGGACAGAAGCAAGACGAAGAAGAAGCATGTTCGTAATCTGTCTTTTTTAGGGGAGGATTTTGTGATACAAAAATATATTTGAAAATGGAAATATATCTTTTTTCACAACACTTTCTCTTTTATGAATGGCTTCTTTATCCACGGATTACACTAAGATGTGTAATTTCTTCATTTCATCATTATCATGGTTTTCAGTGTGGCTACTTTTGGCTAGATCCTCAGCATCTGCTTTACATTGCATTTCCCAAGACATGCATTTTTCAGAAGGAAAATGCTATAACAAAGAAAATAAATTGGAGAGAGAGAGAACAAGAATTAAAAGCCTCAGCAGATTTGTATTTTTTTGTTGGTTAACTTATTGTACTATATACATGTCATTTTCACTAGACACAAATGTTTAGACTAGACACAAGAACCACTAGCAGTCATAAACATGAGCACCAGCACAGGGAGACATTATTCTGCTATTACAATATTCAGAGCGATATTCAAGTGGTCACGATTGCATTTTAACATTTTCAATTCTGAAATCTGAAATCCCGTGTAATGATGCATGCAGGAAAATTAAGGTAAGAACAAGTAAAACTTTATCTTAACTTTTAACATTTCTATTCTTCAGTTCTTCCTCTCTGAGGTAAAGTAACATATGTGTGGTCATGTGACTGACCTGAGTGCCATCTGGTCCAATCAGATCCAGTGATCCCATGGTGCTGTAAAGGAAACGTGTGATCTTCATGAAATTGTCGTCTCCGATGGACCAGGAGCCATCGACCAGGAACGCCAGGTCAGCCTTGGCCTCCTTGCACACTGGACAGACACACAGGTGAGATGTTTAGATTTAGTCAGCACAACGTTTTGTCTCTGCATTTAAAAAGTAATTTCATACAGAATGAAGGTCAGTGGAGGACAAAGCATAAGCTTAATGTTAACTGGCTGTCTAATATATTCATTCTCTGGGTAAATAGTATGAAGCACTGCAAATACACATCCTCTGGAACAGGGTAAATATGCAAAGACTGGGCCTTCAGATTAATTTGCATGCTGTAGAGTTTATAAGATTAAAGGTATAATGCACACTCTCTAACTCAGAGTTTCAAACTCAGACTTTTCTGAACACGAAAAATATATCCAGTGTGTTTGTTTTTTTCTTCTTTTGTAAGCTGCTCATTCATATTCCTGGTCCAGCAGTGACTTTTCCTTCTGCTTTTATTCTTCTCAGGTTTCTAAATGACTCCCAGTAGCCTTATCTTTGCCGCTGTAAAGTTGTTTTGTGGTTTTAACAAGTGTTCAAACTCCAAGTCTGCACTAAATTTCAAACCCTGTTAATGACCATGTCAGCCTCCATAAATTCCCAGGAAAAACCTGAACTGTCTCTCAAGGGTTTATGAGGAAAAATGGTTGTAATTCTAAATATAACAAAATACAGCAGAGTAATTTGGTTGCTTGAACACTAACAACTATCTCTGCTTTTATACTGTATGTCTTTTTCTCAATTCTTTCTCGTCTTTCTCTCCATTTGTCTCTTTCTGCCTTTTCCCCTCTGCTTTCTGTCTGCAGCTCTATCTCTGTCTGTTTTTCTCATCCTGGCCATCAATTTGTTTCATTCTCTACTTTTTTTTCTTTTTCTTTCTCCCCTCATCTTTCTCCCTCTTATAGACCATCACACACCTTGCTTTCTCTTTCCTCTATCTTTGCAGTTCTGTCCTGAGTAAAAGTTGACTATGATTATGGATGGAAGCATCAGTCTGACAAAAGGTCAGACACTCGGATAGAAATGCTTACAGACGGGCTCAGCAGGTGTGTCGGTTCATGTCTGAGGAGTTTGTCCTGCAGGTCAGCCTTTAACCTGAGCCCATCAGACAGGAACAGATGAGGAGGACTGTCTGGGTAGGAGGAGGAGGCTCTGACTCTGAACTTGTACCCCTTTGTTTCTAATCTTTCTGAGCTTGTCAAATGATGAAAAATCCTCTTCCGTGAGAATATTTTACCTGTCCTCTCTCATGAGTCATTTGCTGGTGCACCTTCAATTGCAGTTAGTCAAGGTTTAAAGGAGCTATATGTAAGTTTTCTCTGCTGCCAAATGTGGTTTCTTGTCAGGGTCGGGCAGTAATGGTGGTGATAACGGTCGCTTGCCAAGAGCTTCAGCCATCGTTGCGTTTACAAGTTAAGAGGTTAGAATACGCTCTCTGGGCAGCGCTACTTCTTCATCCGCTCATGCTGAACTGTCGGCAGATTGCACGCTACAGTGACTCACTATTGTAAAGTAGGATTACGAGACTGGATGGGTTGGGGCTAGCTGGTTAGCATGCTAACTTCAGTAGAAGAAAAGAAGTGATAGAAATAGAGGCAACCACTGGAGTCGGCTTTTGGCGAGTAAAGGGATGAAGTTTGATGCTGGACTCGCAACGTTTCCTCTAGACTGGTAAGTATAGGCTATGTGGTAATAGCGAAATAGCACCTTTTAAGTACAGTAAGTGTAATCCATAGGTATTTGGTCATTTACTTATGTAGTTTGTGAATGATTCAAAAAAAAAAAAAAATTACAGGTAGTGTTGCTTCCTGGAAAGACAATTACAAACAGCACATTCTGTAGTTATGATGGTCAAGTCTTGTAACTGTCAATCATAGGTGCACCCTGTATGTTTTAGCCAGTGTGTCCTGTTTGTAGATGGTCGGACTGTACTCTGGTGTTTTGGGGCTAAACTGAGACTGAAGCTGAAGCTGGATGGGAGTGGTCAGGTTAGCTCTCTAAGCCTGAGGTAATAAGCTAATGAACCAGGATTAGAGTAGCATTTCTTTATTTTGGCATCGGCTACAGTCCACAGTAGCCTGAGTATGCTGCACACAATAAAGTCGTTGTGGGAATCCAGTAAACGTCTCACTGACTTCCTGTGAGACACTTGACTTGTTTTTTGATTTTTCCTTTTTGCTTACCTTTAAGTTAGAGTCCATAATTTTATTATAGTGCCCCCAATCTGCAAATTTCCTTCCAGGTCACCACTGATGTTTTGAAACTAAACACGGTTCACAAATGTGTAAAGAGCCTTGAGTGGCATAACATAGCTGCTCTATTAAAAGTAAATTGTTAGATTATTTATTATTCTTTTTCTGTTTCAAAATTATGGCAAAGCAACATTGCATGTGCTGTTAAGTGTGGTGTTGATGATTGTTTTATACTAAAGAGCAAAACTACTGCTCTGTATACTTTGGTTACAGTTTCCTATGCATCAATGTCTCAATGACATTTTAGTCGCCCCCAATTTTAATTCAAATCATTTGATGGCAAGTATCTTCCAGTACAGACTCTGATGCAATTCTACACACCAATTTAATGAATCAAAGTTAATAAATGCAATGCACTTTAGGAACGATATAATATATATTACAAGATAAAGTGACTACACAATAATCATAGCTGTCTATTACAAATATACAGCAAAAGCAACAGAATGGCTGCCAAATATACCACTCAAAAATGTTACCTTACTGGTCATGATGAAAGAAGATGTCTCCTCCTCATAAAGCAATGAAACTGCAATTATTGCATATATCTGTTGCTACAACTTGGCCATCATTTCTAAATATGACTTATACAACAACTGGTGTATATATTGTACAAGTTTGCCAGCACATTTTTTTAAAACAATCATAATTAAAGATACATTTCAAGACTGATTAACTATAGTGCCACAGTTATCAGAAAAAAGTAATCAGGGTAATGTGATGTTAACTACAAAACTAGAAAAGGATAACATATGAATGAGTGTGTGTTTGTGTTTCGCATCTTGCTCACCTTCCTTAGCGGGCGGGATGGTAGGGGGGGGCTCTGTGGTGGGTGGTTCACTCGGGGCTTGAATGGGTGCTGGCACTGGACAGACACACACACACACACACACACACACACACACACACACAAGGAAACAAGACAGGGTCATCAATCATGATGGTAGTGACAAGTGCCACCATCATTGGGTTTATCTGCTGACCCCACACACACGCAAGCATGCGCGCACGCACGCACGCACACGCACACACACAAACACACAGTCAATAAACTGACAACATGAGAGACAGCAGTAGGCTGTTTCTTTTAAGCTGAAAGTTTCCTCATCCTCTTCCGTCCTCCAGCAGCTGAGCTGGGGACCTTCACAGTGAAAAGGTTTGTAGTGTGCTTACAACCTATAGGTACATGAGCAATCTTGTGTTTGGTTCTGTATATCTCCATCACCAAGCAGTCAAACTACTCTCTTTCTATATATCTCTCTCCTATTCCTCCTATGAGCTGGACACAGCAAAAGTACTATTTTCATCAGTCTCGTATCTGTCTGACCAGAGGCTGTTTTTCAGAGTCAAAAACAGCCCCAGGTTAAGGTATGCCTCAGTGCCAAGCCAATTACTTTGCAGAAAGCAGTGGGTTCTGTCAAACGAGAGTAAAGTGAGTAAATCATCTTGAAAACATCGGCAACTGCTCACTGAAGGGGCACGTACTTCATGAAAGTAGACAAAATTATCTCAAATGTTTCTTCAGCTACCATGGTAAGATAATTAGTACATAATGTGTTTGATTCAATCATGAACTTTGTTCTTGAGCTTGTGTGCTTGGCGGTAAATTTTGGCAGTGGCGGATTGCGGATTTTATGGTAAGGCCATCAGTGATGATGTTTCGTTTTCTGTGAGTAAAAAACATTTACCATTACAGCGTTTAACCACCCACTTTTCAAGCGCTTTAAAATGAGAAGGACAGGGGGAACACATAGTTTAAGCAACGTATCTGTTGCTAGCTTTTCTCTCCCCTCACTGTCTGTTCTGAGAGAAGGAAGGATCAGAAAAATGGGAGGACACAGATAGATTATTAACAGCAAACTAATGAATAGATTATTATTTCTTCATTTTGAGAATAGTTGGGCTTTCAGAGAAGGTTAAGCAGGCCCTGATGGTCCAGCACTGCACTGTGGAAAATGTCACTGAACAATAAACATTGGGGACTTTCTGAGGTTTAGGAGCGGGTCATGTTGTCATTGATGTCATTGATGTCATTGATGTCATTCTCTCGGTCTGCTGTTTCCTTATCTTTACTATCTCTCTTCACACTGTGCCCTCTCTGTGTTCTCGCATTTTTAAAAAGTCACAGACACATGATATCAGTGTGTCAGTGGACAATGTTTCACAGCGAGTACATTTACAAGTATCTCCATTTTATTCTACTTATTTCCACTCCACTACATTTATAAAGGGAAATATTGTACTTTTTACTATGCTACATTTGTGTGACAGAAATGTAACGTAACATAAACTAACCAGCAGAATTTTAAGATAGTTAAATGATCTCCATCTCCACCAGGTACAACATTTAAACTGCCTACATGTTAATGCATTTAATAATGACTCTAAAATATAAGACTTTCATAATAATTTAGCACTGTAAAAGGGGCCATTCTGCTCAATGAGCAATTTTACTTTTTTTCTTAATCACAATTTCCTGATAACACTTAAATGCAGGATTACGATACTTGTACTTGTACTAGCACTGTAATCCTGCATTTCCCTGTTTATATGGTGGTTTTACTATTTTCATTCAAGTAAATAAACTTAATACTTCCACCTGTAGTGTCTGTGGACCTGCAACATTTGCTGAAATTGTCTCCAGTGGAATTTAATCCACAGTTGTCTACTCAAAATCTGTGGATCAACAACATTAGTCCAGGAACCTGTGTGTATGTGTATGTGTATGTGTATATCCGAGGTCATATCCATCTATCTATCTGTAACCCTGGTTGTGAGCTGAGCCCTCCTGGTCCCTGGAGCTGTGTGCTTCACCTCAGCTCATCAGCTGACCAATGAACTGCAACAGCAGAATCTATCTTCACTGAGAGAGAGACACGTGAGGGAGAGAGAGAGAGAGAGAGAGAAAGAGAGAGAGAGAGACTGAAGTTGAAGGTAAAAGAGAAAGTTGTAGAGGTGAGACAGATGTGTGGTAGAAGGTGGCTACTGTGGGGACAGATGGACATATGGAGAAAGACATAAAGAGCAACTGGAAGGATTAATTAGAGAAAATGAGGTAAGCGGAGAAAACCGAAAAAGAAGGAAGAAAGGACTGAGGGAGTGACAGTGACAAGAAATTGGTGTAAAAAAGGATAAAAGGGGTGAGTGTGAGTCAGCCTCCACAAAAATGCTGATGAAAATTTAAAATAAATGGGAGAAAACTCAAACTCAACGGTTTCTGTCCTGAATGCAAAGATGAACATTACAACATAATCATGCATATATTTATACATAATATATAAAACATTTGCAACATACACGTCATGTCAGTGATGGAGACCGAAGGTCCCTCCATTTCTTGCATCTGCGTATGGACACTTATCTCGTATTGGCTGCTGGGAGTGAGGTCATAGAAGCACTGTCGGGAAGCACCACCTCCCAGGCTCACTTCCTGTCTTTGACTATCTGCAAGTAATCAACAAACAAAACAGAAAATGATTTCAAGTTCACATCAACGGCCATAAAATCCTAATAAGCAAATCACTCTAAAGGATCTGTTTCAAATTAACTATTCACAGAGCACACATCTACATCTCCAGCCATGTTCTGCATCATATTCTTGCCTGTGCAGTTTAATCATATACACTGCACAGACTTGTTCAGATCTGAAGGTTCAAACTAGATTTGAAAATCTTGCTTCCAAGTGCAGATGAATGCACTGTATCTGCAACATGTAAAAATACCTTAATATGATTAATAACAGAAAAACTAATATTAACACTTTCTTTTAGAGTAAGAGAAGTTAGGAGTGAGTAAATTTTGGAAATTTGACTGTGGTGAAGTCAGAATCGACCGCCAGGATTTCACCAAACTGATTATGATCCATCAAACTCATCTGGTATTTCGATTTATCACACTTAACTGAAAATAAAATGAGGAGGCAGACTGTAGCTTGTGCAACTTTACTAATTTATTGCACCTCAAAGTTGGGTAACTAGAAAACTCTGAAGTTAAAAGACTGCAGGAAAACATCATTATATCCACTGAAAAATGAAATGAATCCTATCATTGATTTCTTTCCTCTTCCCTTGTCAATTTACTTTGGATTGCAGACTGCAAACACTTTCAATTTAGCGTTAGTTTTGAGAAGCTGTAGAGGGACAGCATCACAGAGAAAAAAACACATGAATGAGAATTTATGTTGGCAGCCAAAAAGGAACAAACAGGAAACGGGGAGCGCACACACAGACACACTCTAATAGCTGTCATTTGTCAGTTTCATTAGTCTAATTCTATTTCCTAATGTGTCTCTCATCTTGGAGAGTGACAAATTAGCCCCTCCTCCACAGAGGAAACAGCCATAGATAATAAAGTTTAGGGAAACAGCTGTCACTGAGAGGCTGCACTTTTCCATCTGAGAAGGTGTTTAAGCAGCTGGTTGGCTCTGCGTGGATTAAACCAAATCTCTGAACTCCAGCTAGAATATCCAACTACTGCTCAGGCAAGAGGGAGAGACGGAGATAAACAGAGACGTGTGAGATGGAAGGAGGATGGAGGAGAGAAATCCTCCTCCTTCTTCTTGCTGTCTTTTTTCTGTCAGTAAAAAGCACTAAATGCACTTACTGTTCATTTTTTCCTTTAACTGGAAGTAGTTTTTTTTTATTAATGTCAACAATCTCTACAACACTTGAGTTTCCCATTTATTAATCCACAACCATCTGTAGGAATCCTGTTGGGAAAATCTGTTTTGAAACAGAGCTACAGGCCTTTCTCACAGAGGACATTTTGACTTAGCTAATAACTGCAGCTAATAATGTTAATAATGACTGCATTCAGTTTAGGTGTGGCACTGTCACTGCTCTGATATGGGTAATGACTGCTGTCTCCCTGACAGAACAAAGTGGGACAGGGGCACAGATATCAATTTCTGGTGTATAGTTTTATATTCAGAACAGCAGTTATTCCTCCACTTATTTTTCAGTTTTATTCACTAATATTTTTTCACATGTATTACAAATATACATATGTGGATTGAAACCTTTTCTTAACTGAGAGTACAGCTTAAAAAAGCAGTAGTGCTTTAGCTATAAAACTAGGAGTGGGCCTTCAGTTGTTTTTTTGTAACAGCAGTTTATACCTTTATACTTTGAGGACAGATTACTCTCCTTGATGCTGGTGAGGCCAGCAGCATATGATACACATATTCTGTGCCCTGCCTGTCACAAGGTATTCAAATTTTTCTTATGAGTGCATTGTATGACACTAACTATTCCCAGGAGCTGTGTGTGACATTATCCCCCACTACACCAACACAGTAGTCCCACTGAAGTAAATGAGGAAGGAAACATCGTTCGCCAAAGAGCTACAAGTGTGAAAGCCCCCTTACTGTCACATACTCATGCATCTTTTCCTCTCAGGTGCTTTTGGGTTAAGTGAAAAAAATCATCACCAGTGCATCTGATTCTGCTTCCTATGTGAACTTTTGAACTTTCTAAAAAATAAACTCATGGACACAGAAATGTTCGCGATAACCAAGAATCTACATGGGATGTTTTATAGCTGCCTGTTTAATGCAGAAAATTGCAGAAAATTCCAATCACTATTTCAACAGTTTTTTCTCACCACAGATTTTATATGAACCTGTGCTGCACAACCAACAGCCCTCTGAGGACAAATAAAAGTAAAACTTGAACTTGAAGTTGCTCACTGTGAGTGGACCTGCTCCAAAATACCCTCTTGTTGAACGGACATATTGGACAAAGGTTTTATTAAGGTTTTTATATTCTAGAAACTCGATTCAAGGTAAAGTGAAAAGAAAATAAAGGAGCAAATATAACAAAGGCGAAAAGATTCATTCATTTTTCTGATTGACTGGATTAAAATAGATTTGGTAGATATATTTGCTAATTTCTTTCTTTTGTTATTAAAGATCTCCTTTCTTTGCTCCTTCTTTTCTTCATCTGTCTCCTTTTAAACATTTAATAACTGAGTAATCTGCACAATAAACAGCTTCTAAAGGTCACACTCTGTATCTTTACTCATTTTATTTCTGACACGATGACATATTCTGAAAGCGGTTTCCTCCCATGTCGTTTACTGGGGAGAGATTGAGTACATATCATATCTCCCTTCCTTTCTGCAGACCAAGAGATTTATGAAAATCCTTTACAATGTAAAACCTCTGCCATGACAGAAATACAGAACATTTATTTCCTCAGAGACTCGTACCAATATGAATTCAGATGACTCTGAGAGGTACAGTAGTGTCCAACAGTCTGAGACCACTTTCCATTCATCTGGGAAAGTGGTCTCAGACATTTGGACCCTACTATATGTAACCAACACATATGTAGCCATCACACACACGCACACACACACACACACACAACACAGCAGTCCTGCGCTGACTTGACTTTGTGTTACTAATAAACTGTGGAGACATTTTCATGAGGACAGACTATAAATCTATAAGGAAACATATTCAGAGTTTGGAGTGGACTCCAGCCTCCTCACCAAATATCACAACCCTAGTAAAATGTTTGATTTACTGACTGAATTGCAGTCCAGTCACTTGGCTGGCAAAAGCCCTCTTCCAAAAACAACGTGGAACGGTGAAACACGTTGGGACACAGAAATGTTGATGAGAACAACTAACTGTACGTTTCTGCACGTGCTCTCGGACTACCACTTGTTCCCAAAAACTATGCATGAATTAAGCTTTTGTCTGGAAATACTGTTTTTTTTTTCCTTTCTAAAACTGCAGTTAACAGGTGTGAACCAGACCACCTTTCAGCAAACTGATAAAGTAACCCTTAATTTAAATTCACACCAGATAAGTCAATCACGTCAACGCATGGCGCGAGCTGCCTGTCTGGTATCACATTCTCACGCTGAGAGCAAAACTAATGGAAGCAGTAAGCACAAGAAATGAACACATTTTTTTTTCACCACCTTTAACACAAACACTGCCACACACTCTCGTTAACAGTGAATGTACTTACTGAGTGTAGACTGTATGGACACTCTGTATAACGTGGCGTGTAGAAGAGGCTGCCACTGGACACACATGCTGTTGGAACGCACCTGGTAGGTTGACAAGCCAGAGACGCCGAGGAACACTGGAGAGAGAGAGAGAGAGAGGAAAATGACAGAAAGATTAATTTAGCATAGATTTCTCAACTCCTAAGGAGAAAATTGTGTGTTCACGTAAGACTCGCTGATGCTCAACGGACAATCGCACAACAAACAGCTAATCTGTTCATTACAGATCGCCGTACACAAGATATCTCTCAGGGAATTACATGATTTACTAAATCTATCAAGCGGCACATGAACACTGCAACAATCAACAAGGGGGCGTAATTAACAGTATGTCCACGTTCAACCAGATGAAAACATGAAACAGAACACTTGAGTTAAAATGTGTAACACTGGTCACTTTTGTTAATTATTCCTTTGAATGGCTGGCAGTAATAGAAAGTTATAATTGATGTTAAACAATGTTGAGAAAAGGGTTTCTGACAAACTGTTGCACCTTTTCTAACCATAAACTTGACCTTTTTCCTTTCTGTCTGTGTCACTTGTCCAGTAGGCACCCTCCACCATCCAGCTCCTCCACCCATCAAAATAACTAAAGATTCCAACTGGGAGAGGCTCAGACACTCACAGCACAGAGCACTCTGGATCATGTGGGCTTCAAAGTCTGCACCAAACTACTCTATATTCATTAAGGCTAATTTGCATCTTATTGATGGTCCTCCAAAGTCTCCCTTAGCTGAACTGGGAATAATTTTGCAAAGATATGTCATTAATTGAACTACTCTGAGAAAAATGTGGACAAGTTTTGTTATTTGGAGAGGCAAATAGTTTAACATACATATTGTATAATGTATGATGTGTTCAAGGTCAGCAGTCAACATTAGGGTTGGAATTGTGCTAAACTTTGGGTTAGACCTGCACTGGCTGTATTATACATCAAATGCACAAGTGGCATTTTGTTGAACATGTCTTTGGTGTGCTGATGGCAGAAAAATAAACAGTTTAGCATCCGCATAAAGAGTAAATGGTAGAAATGTATCTATATTGACAGTTCCAATTACAACATTCAGCTCAAACAAATCATTAAGTCACAAAACAAAACTAGTCAGGCTTGACGTTTAACTGTCATGTGAGGAAACAATGAGGCATGATGCAGCAAAATGCAAAACACCATGAGCAATTTAAATAGCTGAAGCTTGTTTGGGAGTGAGATTTCAGTGTACCACAGGCAGGAAAACCTCCAAGGAACCACTCTCTCTCTTCTGGTTTCCTCACACTCTCTTTGTCTCTCTCTCTCTCTCCTCCTCTCTCTTGTTCTGTCCCCCTTGTTAACAGAATTTGCTGATGGTATAAAATAAACTTGGCTATTGCACCAGTAAATGGATATTCTATGCTGGGACCATATGGCAGGTACCTTATTTGTAAATACTAGTGAATAATGCATATGACAACATCATTCCTTTCAATAACATGCAAAGATGCACACAAACTCGCTCATGTACACACAGACAGGTGACATGCGACACACGTACAACACAAAAACACATCAACATGGATATATGCAATCATGTATGGATTTACATGTGAGTTCACATTATATACTTGTGTTAGTCTACTCCAAATAAAACCAATCTGCCATGTTTGTACAGATTTAAAACAGATTCATGACTAAACATGAAGCTAAGCGTTTGGACTCGACTGCCGGTTAGCCAAACTGAGAGTCAGTTAGTTAGTTACTTAGTTAGTTAGTATTGGTTTTTTTAACTTTGACTTTATTTCTGTAATCGGGGATGTCAGAATTACATCTGACTCCACTTTTGTCTGTGGAAACAATCTGAACACGTCTAAGAAAACACCTCAACTCATTGTGGTGACACGGATTTCACTGCAAGGCTTAAGTGGAAGTGTACAAAGCCCAGTTTAAACATAGAAGAAAGACATGAAAACCAGGACAAAGAAAGATGGAAGAATTAGAGAAAGGGAATGTAAAAGGTTAAAAAAAAAAGTATATTAATAAGAGGAAAGTGAGCATTTTTTAGTGGTAATTGCCCATTTAACATCTAAAGGTCAGAGTGAAAGGAGTGTAACGGATATAGACTATGGTGGACCATATGGAGATGCTGCAATCAGTCAGAAATTACCTCTGTGCGTGTGAGTGCGTGCTCAAGTTGCCAGGCTTGGTGCCAAACATTTGCACCCATCTGCCTTCACAAGCTCCACACACTCAGTTTCCACAAGACTATTTCTTCATTCTCCTTCTGCCTGAGTCACGTCATGTAATCCTTTCACAGCAGGAGCTCAAGTCTCATACTTTTAGTCTTCAAAAAAACATGTTATTTTCATTTTTGTGTGAATCCTACAAAATATCTTGAGACTGTCTTGACTGAGCACTCTTCACTGCTGCTGTTGAAACCAAATTTTTATTGTAACCCTGAAACACTACCACCTAAATACAAACTACATAAAACTTCATTTGGGGGAAACAGTTTCATTTCATTCGATGGTCCTCAAGGTAACAATAATTACCTTTCTATGCTACATGCTAGTATGTGTAATTTATTGATCCAAACATGCCAGTTGGCTCCCACAGTAAGGCTGCAATGAATGCAGTGTACCCTGGGAAATATGTTACTGTATCTCCCTTATTAGAATGAGAAATGACTGAACACATCTCCTTAGTAAATCAGAGTTTCTCCACTGTAGAGCACAAATATGGACAATGAATTTAACTACACCCTGTGTAGTACGGGAAAATATGACACATCTGAAAATTTATCAGTGCACTGTGAATTCTTTGCATCTGAATACATGTTCATCTGACTATTTAGTGATGTCATTTCATTCATTCCTGGCCAACACTGTAGAAAACAAAGTGCGATGTGGCATACAATACAATACGCACAAATAGAAAGTGTTGAATAAATATGGATATGAGAAATCTACATCTAGATAAAGTTATTATATATGTCACTATAAATTTACTTTTTGCTGTATGCACAGTTATAAATGGGGCTTGTGAACTCACTGCCCTTATTAAATTTGGTAGGGTGGACAGTAGAGGTACCATCATCCAGTGCTAAACCAGGCCAGTGTTAAGTTTAAATATGGATGGCTGATAAATCTACATGTCATTGTTGCATACTTTATCTCGTTATGAAAGTATCTTTGTTCTATGACAGTCAGGAAGGCTCATGGGAATTGTCACTCATCCTGCAGGGGGATGATGAACAGATGAAAGATGCTACATCACTGCAGCAAAATATCATGAAAAATCTGTGTATCAAAAGCATTCCTCTTTAATTGTTGATTATGTATAAATCCAGGAATGAGACTAAACTGAATCTTTTTCAACATCTTTCTTCAAAGTTAAGGGAAATTGCTTTTCAGAAAGAAAAAGTGAGCTGTGTACAAAAACATGCATGAGAAATTTACGAGATATTAAAATTAGAGTATATTTGTTTTCATCCCACTGGATGTGCCACTATTTGGTGAGTCCCTCATGACCAATCAGACAGTAAACCTAAAAGACAACAGTAGATTTTAAAGTAAGGGATGATACAGCAGTTTTCTGAAAACCGCACACATACAAACAGGAAGTCATTAAGCCAAAAAGACAACAAAAATGTTTGGTGATAGATAGTGACATAGTACTATTATGAGAGCCTGCCAGAGTGGGTTTCAAGAAAGAAACAGATGCATACACTCATACTGTATACCTGCTCTACAAAGACTATGTCAATCTCTCTCCCTCTAACTTCCTCCCTCTCACTCCATTTGTTTTAGATGAGACAAGAGTTAAAGCCTGCATCAGGTTTTACTGCACCTACTCATACCAAATTTATATGCATATAGGACTATTCTCACCGCCTGACTGGGAAATATTTATAGCCTTCTGTCTATCTGTCTGTTTGCTAAAGTCTCAATGGAAATTAGAGCGTATGGTATCAGCAGGCAGTTAATATGCATGTTGTACCTTTCCCACTTTCCTAAAACTAGTTTGCTTTTCTGCTGCTGCTGCTGCTGCTGCTGCTGCTGCCTCTGTCTCTGTCTCTTCCTTCTAATAATCACACTCCTTTGTGACAAATTCAGACTATGACTATAATTAAGGTGGTGGTGATGCCCCTCATTATGCTCATTTTGGAATGACAAATTTTGATATCTGGTATGACCTCTCAAAAGTAAATTCAATTTAAAATTACATTTAGGATCTTAGTTTTTTAAAACTCTTTATTGTTAAACTTTTGTCTGAGCAAAACTTCCATTTACAGTCATGTCCATAAACAATACGTATTTTCCTACAACGTCAACAGTGCCAAACAAGATAGGACAACACGAAATAGTACCTACTCTTCCAACAAAGTGTGATTGTGTGCAATAGGGATGCTTACTTGTTTTAGCATTCACGAGTTGTGGTTCACTTTGTCCTGTAGGGTAGGAAGCTGTCACTTGAACGCTGTATTCTGTCCCGCTCAGAAGATTCAGAAGGAGCATGGAGTTCACATCTTCACCCACAGTTGTCTCCAAAACTGGTCCTGGAACTGAGAAAGACACAAACATATATACATAGATAAGCACAGACAGAAAGGACAGAGGGAATCAAAGAATGAGAGAAGTCTCCCAAAATTTAAGGAAGCAATTTACAAACCAAATAAACATTGATTTGAGACTATGTAAAAGTATTTTAATCCCATTTAGAATTGGAACTTGCTGGGTTAGGGTTATCAAACCTGAGTCAGCAACTGAATTTCATTTTTTTTAAAATGTATTTATCATACTTAAAATACCAGCACTAACTAACTGTGTTGCAATACAAGAACAACGCTCTTGCCACGGATCATCAGCTGGTGGAGACACTGCCTGTCTGGGACATGCAGCTCGCCTCATACTTTGAACACGATACCTTGAACAACTGTCAGCTACAATACAGGTTGTTGACAGAACCAAACTTGATTATTAATTAACACTGATCACTATGAAAGAAAAGTCATAATCCACATCTTTCAATACAACAGATGTAACACTGAAGCTCATTACTTGTCTGGTCTGTTAATAGGTTGCTAGGTTACAAGTAGAAAAAGTAACCAAAGCTGACTGACACTTACAGATATGTGATAGGCGTACTATATTGGGAGATACTGACAACTTACCATCTCCCACACATACACAAACCTGTATAAACACATGCATGCACAAGCTCAACAACAAAGATACTCAGGAATATGTATGCACACATGCACAAGTGTGCACACACACATTCTCCTCTAGGCCAATGTAATAAAACAAAGATATAATAATAAAAACCTTCATTAATGCAGATTTTCCAAACAACTGCTACAAAGCGCTTTACAAAATAATAACAATCCTGCATGAATATAATAATGGTATGAATTAAAAAAGCAACAAAAGCAATACAAGGGGAAAAAAACATAAATAAAGGAAGAGCTGCATTATCTTTACAACACACCATCCACTGGAGCACTATTAAATAGGACACAGACTGTGTGTGTGTCTTTGTGTATGCATGTGTTTGGGGATTTTTGCATTTGTTATATGAGGTGGATTTATTCTTACATTATGTATGTGCGTGTGTGTGCGTGTGTGTGCGTATGTGTGCATGGGTGTGCGTGGGTGTGTGTGTATTGGCATTTGCACTCACAAGCACTTCTAGCCTCTACGCCTCTAAGTTTCTCACAGTGAAAACAGCAGCCTGCTGAAATTTATTTCCCTTCAACTTAATTCCTAAAATCAGATTACTACAGCCTGTCCGCTTGAAGCTGGATCCTCAGAGACGCAGTAATTGTGTTTAAATGACTTAAAACAGACATGGAAACTATAAAGACTGGAGCCTTGACTTGGAAGGATGAAACAATTAGCACAGAGAAAGCAGCAGAACAGTGAAAATGGTCTTTTGTTGATGCTTCAAGACAATAAATAAATGAGGAAGGGTAATGTACTATTTCAGCTCAGGATCGCTGACGTTTCCCTTAACGCTTTAAGCTTCTTGTTAAAAAGAAAAATTAAGAAGTCACTTTCAGGAACGTCAAAACACCCTGAGAGTTAATATGTCCCTCTTGCAGGTTTGTCAGAGGTGGGTCCTCCTGTAGTAAGTGGATTACTATGTTTAGATGAGCCTGTGTTTCAGTGCAAAGCACTCACAAAACTGACAAAACAATACTCTTGTGCTTGACAATTAACAGTTTTCTAACAGTGCTTATGCATGAAGGTGTGCTTTTGTGGAAAGGAAACACAGAATTTAATTACCGCTCTCTGTCACTTTTTGTGTTTCAATTTAACAAAAACCATTACAAGAAAAAAAAAGACTGGGGAAAATCTCCACAATCTCTGCATTTTACATGTTGGGATTACTGCTTTATTAAACAAATAATATTTGGATTAGCATTAGTTTATGCCCTCTTAGTGTGTGTGTGTGTGTGTGTGTGTGTGTGTACCATAAATGGGCTGGTAGACGATCCTGTAACCCTCTGTTGGAGACTGAGGTGGATCCCAGGTGACCCTGAACCGGCTGTACCACTCCTCTGACACGCGGAGATTTCCAGGAGACAAGAGGGGCGCTGCCACAGCACAAGACAAAATCTGAATATAGGGGAGCTTCTCAGAGCCAGACTTAAATTTAGATAAAAAAATAAAATGAGAAGGGCAACACACTGAAATCTTTGACAGCTGGGGAAATAAATCAAATCCTCTACTGTTAAGGACAAGTATAGTCATTTGTTCGGACTGTATATGATTCAGGGCTGGGTATCATTCAAAATTTTTTAACACTAGCCCTGAGTTTGGGGAATGCCTGTCAGTTTCTTATATTAACTACTACAGACACATTTTGGCCGCTACCAAAAAGTCCTGAGATTTAATATCCAGCTTTAATATGATTTATGACTTTTGTTCCTTATTGCTGGTGACAGCACAAGAAAGCCTGGGCACAGCACTGCATATAGTTTGTTGATATATGAGTTTCAACAAACTGTGAATTATAAATTATTGTAGCACCGCAAAGTTGTAGTTTTTTTTTTGTTTGATTGTTTGTTTTTCAACCAGTGCCAGGCGTGGTTGAATTTGAGTTATCACAAAGTTGTAAATTCCTACGGAGCCTGATTTAGGTGTGAAGACAGTGTTCCTCCCTAAAAAATATAAAATCATATCTGGCTGTACATGAAGTGTGTCTTGGCTCTGATTTATTGCCTTGCTGCTTTCCAAGCTGAGAGCGGGGTTTTATTTGTAATATGGTGAGCTATAGCACCCTCATCTAAAGAGATGACATATTTCGTCTGACATTTCAGTTCTCTGTACGATGAGGAGACAATCACTGCTGTTCATTAGGGGTAATCAAGAGAATCAATTAGAGCTGATATAATTTAATCGTCTCATTAATGAAAAGAGCTGCTGTAATTGTGAACGGCCTTCATTAAGACAATTAAGAACGCATCAGTATTTGTCATCACTTTAATTTGCATTCTCCTTCAGGAACATAAACGAACATGAAATTAATGTAATGCAATGACCGGTCTGCTCGCTGAAATAAGATTCATTTTCATTAGCTTTCAGTTTTATCAGATGTGTTCTTCTAAACTGGGAGCTGTATCTCTGTGTGATAAAAATTGAGACACTGAGAGCTGACCAAGAATGGTTAATAATTCAGAGGATTGTGGGTGTGTGTGTGTCTGTGTGTGTGTTGTAAGGCCTACATGTGGCTCCCAGGGCAGAGACACTGATGCCGTCCTGTCCGTCCTTGTACACTGGCGTGACTGTCACTTTGTACTGGGTGTCTGATAGTAAAGGCTGAAGCACAACTCTCCTCTGACCACCTGGAACTAACACCTGCACACACACACACACACACACACACACACACACACAACCCCTCACACACACACACACACACACACACACACACACACACACACACCAGGATAAATGCACCATATAGCAGACTACATGCAGAATCTGTTGCTTTTCTCTGCTGATTTATAGCAACATTTGGAGGAAAGGATTGAGGCCAGATTTAATTTGGTAAAACAGAGTGTCGGCAAAATAGTACATATATCTTTAGGGATATGAACCACAACTGTTCAAGAATTCTGCTCACTTCAGTATAGTCAATAAAGTCACTTGAGGTCAGCAGTGAGACAAAAAAGAGCTGAGAAAAACCCATTACTGCTGAGTTTTCATTTATAAATGTTGCAGTTTGTTCTTTCTATGCATCTTTGTATAAGTTCTCAAAGTGTTTTTTTTATCAGAATAAGGTTCTTTCTCATCAAAAGGTTTGAAACAAACTACACTGCAACACAAATATCAAACTTAGTGTACTGAATCTTAGAAAAAGACAGCTAACAACCCAGATGTTGCTATTTTATAATATAATTAAATATAAATGGATGTTAACTAATTCTCCGCTTGACATGTCAGTCTTCACCTTGGAAAAAGTGGCTGACAAAACAATCTCTACTCAAGGTCCGCTTGCTTGCTTGTCCCGGAGCTTTCAACTTCATCACAAGGTTCTTTATCAGCAGATGATTTACGCCCATGTTGAAAGCTGCAGCAAGTAAGTGGAGATTGTTTTGTCAACCAATTGGTGATATTTGTAATTTGTAAAACTGTCAAAAATAAAACTCAGCTTTCTGTCACTCCTTCTTTAATCAACTGTCTTATTTGTAAATCAAAACATTATTTGATATTTACATCAGAAAGCCTTCAAACATTCATCTGTGTGTTCCTAACAAAGTGTCTACTTTCCAAAACACGACTTTCACACAAACAGCACAGAGATGAACTTCTCTTTGTTGTGCTAACAGCATTGATCCTCAGCCAAATGTTAGTCTACGTGTGTGTGTGAGAGAGCGAGACAAAGAGAGAGAGAGAGAGAGAGAGAGAGAGAGAGAGAGAGAGAGAGAGAGAGAGAGAGAGAGGTGTTTTAAGGTAAGGCCAGTGCATCAGGAGGAGCTGTCCACTCTGACTGAGGTGCTGAAACTCCTTTCAGTGTCAAAGCAGGAAGGTGCCCACACCCTCAAACACTTTTAAACACATAAACACAAACTTAGGAAACACAGATTTGTCCGTGTCGTCTCTTTTGCCCTTTATCTATCTGTCACACACATCCACATCAAAACACATTCAAACTTTCAGAAAGAGGTACGACGTGAAACAACTCTTATCTATCAGCTAGAGGACAGATTTAAGCCTTTCTCTCCATTTTGTTTAGCGATTGTTTCTCTTTCCACCACTCCTTGTTTCTTTTGCTCTTTTCTCAGCTGTCCTCCATCTCTGCTCCCAGTGAGGTAAATGGCTACTGAAAAGATAATGGAATGTCTTCTGGCTTGGCCTGGCCTCTCCATCTTCTACCGCTCTGACACCACATTGGGAAATTAAAACGGGGGTGGGAGTGGGGGGTTAGAGAAAAGACAAGAGGGAGAAAAAAGAGAGATAGAACGACAGATGGAAAAGAAAAGAGACGCTGGGTATGTGTGTGTGTCTCTGTGTGTGTGTGCATCAGTGATCAGGGTCAGTACATGGCACCGAGCTTAAGGGCTCTTACCACAGATAGAGGGATCAGGAAGGAGAGGCCGAGTGGACCAGGACTAAAAGTGTAATCAGTTTTCTGATTGGAGCAGATGACCCGACACTGACCGCTGCAGTCGCCATCCAGTTGGCTGGACGTGTGAAATAACAACGATCCTCCTCACAACTCCACTGTTGTCTCTTCCACGTAATTAGTGTCCAGACATTTGTGTGTGTTTACATGCATGTGTTTGAGAGCTGCAAAAGCCGGAGGTGGCACAGGACTAGAAGGAGGGAGACTTCTGAAACTACAGACATGTAACAGGGATCTAAAAAAAGCCCCCTTTTTTTTTTTATTAAAATCAAAAACACTTGCTGCACAAAACCTCCAAAACTAAATCTGTATTTCATTATTTCTGATCTGTAAATGATTTTGCTTAAACTTAAACAGCTCTGAACTTGATCAACTCACAGACTCCTCTTTGTGGTCACCCCTGAGGCCAGCATAGGAGACCCTGTAGCTCTCCACATGGGGGTCTTCCATCTCCCATGATGCCTCTAAGCTCTGGGTGGTCTCGTCGCTCAGCTGAAGGTTTCTCACAGCCTGACGTCCTACTGCGACATCACATCACAGACAACAGTCACTATACAGAGTTACTGCAGGATTTACACATAAACAGTGACACAAAATCTTGGCTTGAGCTGCATTTTCTTCACACTTTTAATGTGGTTTGGTAAACTGTGGATTTGAAAACTGTCAGTCAAAATGCCAGTATGATAAAAGAAAATCATAACAGCTACTGTCAATGTGCCAACATGCTCAGTCAGCTGTGATGTGCTGGATGATAAAAAAAAGTTGCAGTAAAATCTGGCACAAACTGAGGGAAAGTGTTTTTTTGTTTTTTTTTAGTTTCATCTGTCTCAAAAATGGCTTTAAACCAAATTAGACATGTTTTACAGTCTATGCAGTCCTCTTTGGATGAAAATCAGCATGCAGGTTCAACACATATTGTAGCCCTAAACTACAAGCGTTGATTTTTAAAAACAGAGACGACTCGCTGGGTTTGGGTTGTGATTTTCACAGAAGCAATTGGAGTTTTAAAGAAAACAGATGTGCTTTTTAAAAGTTTGAAGGATAGTGAGCAAGGACTTAAGTAAGGAGACGTGTTGCTTTTCAAGTTTTCAATGCCGTGAGTGAAGAAAATGCTCTGACTCGATTAGCTGTAGCCTGTTCCTCATACAAAACACAATCCAGATGGCCTCTGGGTTGCCTCTGAGATAATGGAGTTTGAAATAAAGTCTCGGGGTGAAGCCAACTTGGTAAACACACTTTTAAAAACAGAGAAGATCTTCCAAACTTTTTTCATAAGGTGGATCCTGCTTGATGATGTTATCAGTGTTTCGATTTTAGATTCATCAGCCTTAGTCTGAACAGACTTTTCTAAGCCCTCACTAATTCTGGTTTAGCTTCCTGAAACTAAATGAGCAACAAAGACCAAAGCTCTGCTACAGGAACTTTATAGAGCTGTGGTTGCTCTCTGGCAACATCGGCATGCGCTGGCAACTAGTAGAGACTTTCACATTTCAACGGCAGAAGATCTTCTAGACAGATGCTTTGGCTTGAACTGTGATTAAAATTTGGCCAGTCTCTCTGCAAGGATTTTTTTTTCTTTTTAAATGAAGTACAAAGTGAACTTAAAAGTCTGCTGCTTGCTGGACACATGCAGCACAATGATTTAAAGAAACACTCTCCAGATTCTAACATCGCTAATATTATGAAGAAATACATTTTACGGCATGATTTTAATCAAACATGGCACGTCCACTCATGTCACATGTTTTCAGGTTAATGTTTGGCCAGTATTATACATGTACAATATTGAGAATGTGTTTGTTTGGACACTTTTGCTCCTGACATTTTGGAATTTTTACTCAAAAGCAATGTGGACACTTCTTACCTGTGGTTGTAGCAATCGTTGTTGTCTTGGCCACTGGGGAAATACAGAGAGCATAAATCAGATAATTGGAAAGAAACTCTTCCCAACAGTTCTCTATATCAATAACTAAGGTAATTAGACAGAAATACATAACAAACCATTGATGGGGAAATAGATTTTCTTCTTTTGAGATAAGCAGTTACAAACAAATCAATGCAAATAGGCTCACACAGAGCTACGCTTTGAACTCAGAAATGCAAATTTTATTATCCTAAAAGGCATATGTGATTGGACTCGTCTGTTATTCTCAGCAGACTGTGGCACTTTGGTGAAGAGGGTTACTCAGGTCACAGGCTAATTTCGACATCAGTGCAACCAAGGGGATTTTACTATATGAAATTACACTGGTCTTCTCTTATCTGTGGAAAAGTTTTCAGACTCTGACTTTTGTCAAATTTTGTGTTGATTAGATAAAGCAAATACCACAGCTCTCTGAGTTTGTAACACAACAGCTGCACATGTTGCCAGTTACACAATCTACTGTCACTTACATGTGGTCTCTATAACAGAGATGGTGTCACTCTCTGATTCATCTTTGAACACAGCCGTCAACATCACTTCATACTCAGTAGACGGACTCAGACTGGTCAGGATGTATCTGTTATCACTTCCACTCAAGACCACCTACAGAAGAGAAACACACACACACACACACACACACACACACACACACACACACACACACACACACACACACACACACACACACACACACACACACACACACACAAACACACAAGTCTAAGTCTCATGTTACATTTGACTTCCAGCAGTGTCTTCTTTCCAAAGTTTACTTCTGAAAGATGTTGGCTGATATCACAAAAATGTCAACCATGTGCTTCTGCTGTTACACATAATGTCCAGACACAGCTGGACATTATGTTGGACAGCTGCTAGTTGATATTTATAATGTCGTTTTTTTGTTTTTTTTTGTTTGTTTTTTTAAGTTTTACCAATGAAAATATAAAGATATACTGTGTATAAAAGTTCTCTCAAACTTGCCTAGGTATTAGTGAAACATACAAAATATTCTATTAAATTTTGTCATATTGTGTCTCAAAGTGCTGATAACATTTTAAGCCACCTTCTTCTGTTCTATGTCTTCATTTGTTGTTATTATATTTGCCAGAAGATAATAAATAGGACAAGTTTCCTAAGTTACACTAAAGATGTGATAAAAAATTTGGGCACTAACCAGCAGTCTGACAGGTTTATTTATACTCTAAGTGCAACACCAGACATTCAAAGCCAAGGTAATCACTGCGCTTTAGTAGAGAAAGCTGCTAAAAACATAACAAATTGTCTCGGTGCTCATAATTTCAGTCATGAAAACAGCAGGAAATGGTAGCACATATTTTAAAAAGCTTGTGTCTGTGAAAACAAACTTTTATATTTTGTACATACAATGTGTTTTAATACTGTGCTGAATAAATTACAAATTGTAGAAATTCACTTTAACAAGAACACATTTAAATGTAGCCCACTCTTTGTTATGTTAAGCAAAAGTAAAATTTAAATAAGGCCATTTATAGACTTATAAAGATAATGGTTACAATACAAGTGACTCAGAAAAGTGGCTTTCCCTGAATATGTCAGGACGGCCAGTTGGATCGTTTGCTGCTGCTGAAGTCCAAACGACCACTATAATTTGTACAACACAGAAACGAATCAGACCCCAAGGTAAATACAAAGAGGTCATCACAAGTACAGCTTGTTCCACGGAGAGCTACTCTGAAATTGGAATTTACTGTAGATGAGTCAATAACCAGATTATGTGCAGGAATTTGTTCCTTCACTGAGCCCTTCGGGGCACAGTTACATGCAAATTTCACCAGTGGGGCCAGACATTTGTGATTTCCCGGGAGCAAGTGCATCTTTACATCTTAGTATTCTCTCCCTTTCCTTTTGACATTTCTTTTGCATTTAGTGAGAGGCATTTCCATATTGTACAGCATTGTTTCCTTCATGCACATAAAGAGCATTGCCCTCTGCGGTATTTGCCTGATTAAAGACAATCAATGCAACATTTTATTGAAGAGCACAACAAGACCCAAAACCTGCATTCAAAAAGGCACCAGGGTGCCAGTAAAACAAATAAATCCTGACAAAACAGTGCAATACATAAAAAGAATCAAAACTGATATGAATATCAAGATGATCACCTTTCAATCTGGGTAATCTTTCACCCTGTTTGTGAATCTGTGTCTGTGTGGCTGTTGGATTGTGTTATGTTTAATCTCCTTTCAGATATAACAATACAGAGCAGTCAATGTGTGTGGTGTGTTTGTGTGTGTGTGTGTGTGTGTGTGTGTGTGTGTGTGTGTGTGTGTGTGTGTACATGTTTACAGTACGTAGGTGAGAGACAGATTAAAGCCCTTTCTCTATTCTGGTGGTATTACCAGCCCACCTCTCCAACTCCCCAGAGTGTTATTTTCAGCTCTGATGACTCTCAGCAAAACACACATACCCGCTCACACAACATGCACACACGAACACACACACACACACACTTTTACGGACCTAAGGGCTCTATCGCTGCCTCCCAGCTGCCTCTAAACCCCAGATCATGGTAATAAAACACCCAAGCCATTAATTTCTAGATTTATTCAGCCTTTATTTATACTCAGCCATGCCAGGGGTTTTACCAGCTACCAGTAGAGTGGTTAAGCTTATATGAAACTCTATGGAGTACAGGCTCCCTTTATCTGGGCACATGGAGTGTAGCCACTTCTTCCTCTGGAAACAGAGATAATAAGTTGACCTCTGGCTAAATGAAAAATTCAGAATCCATGTAGGTTATTTATCTTTTAATGCTAAAATATTAATTTTATTGCTGTAATATTTGTCAGTTTGAGGAGGAGAAAATACAAATTTGTAGCTAGTGCATACAGTAGCTGTGCCAAAGGCTCCGACTTAATGTTTCAGCCCTGCAGTGTTGTCAACATGATCTATGAGGATGATCTTCACTGTCACATTTCAGTTCTTCTTGAAAAAAACATCTTTGAGAAACCTGTGTCCAAAGCAAACACCTAACATAAAGTATATTGGTGGCACTGACCTCTTTTGTGTCGCCACCTGTGAACGGTGCCCACGAGAGTCTGTAGAGGACGATGTCATTGGCTGAGTGATCCCAGCTGACCTCAAAGCTGTCTGTGCTGACATCACTGGAGCGTAGATTCAGAGGACCAGGAACTGGAGCTGAGAGACAGAGACTTCAACGATTTGTACGTTTCTTTTTCTTATGTTTTTCTAACCTCAACTGTTAAATATTTACATATTTCAATGTATCATTTGTAATACCGTTACGATTTCACTGTACGTTTATGATGATATTTACAGTGTTAACCAGCTTTTTTTTTTTTTTTAATGTTACATAACTATGAGCTAGCTTCAGTTTGGAGCATAATCACTTACCGGGAATTACGGCTTTCCTGACTGTACGGTGCCATTTATTGCACAAGTTTAAACTGTTTGTTCAGCAGTTATCTTGGTTACATCTTACAAAAACAGCATTTTGGCGTGAACTCTAATCACGCAGGTTTCCATCATTTCTCACATCGCCACTCAAAAGCATTAAAAGAGCTAACGCATTTGTGTTAGTTGGTGAAGCTCCCTCTCTTAAACCTGGACCACTGAACAAAGTTTGCCAGGAGATAGATAAAAATCCACACAGCCCTTCAGAGTGAGGAGTTTAATAGTTGCTTGCCAGAAATACATTTCTTTCAGCTGACTCAGCACTGGAGCCAACCTGCTTGTTGCTTAAAGGGATATTCCTACAAATCAATATCTGTTAGCGTGACAGAATAGCCAGGGACAGTGAAATGACCTTTTAATGTGACTGGGCTATTATGCTGAGGTGTAAATGAGATGGGCAGACTGCCAAAACAGCAAAGGGACCAGTAGGGGTAATAAAATTCAACAGTTTGACACTGAGAGAGAAATGGTTTGCCTTCTAATTTTCTGAAAATACAACAATTTTCAGGAAACTGAGACCATATTGTCCTCAGCAGAGACAGGGAAATGCAAGAACACCAATGAGGAAAACAATTTGGACAAATCTACTTGATAATTACCACTGGTGGCAACATTGCTCATCTATATGTGCCCAAATCTAATTTAAGGTTTCGCAAGTCCGTAAAACTAACTACTGCATCTTCTTCTAATGTATTCTCACAGCCAAACAGTGACAGTTTCTTACTGGTAGTGAATCCATCGTTGAGCGGCTCTGACTGGCCGTTGTCATACAGGGCAAAGATGGCCACTGAGTACTCCATCAGAGATGTCAACTCGCTGAGGTCATAAGAGCTCACTGGACCGACCTCCACCTGAAGGACACACACAGACACGTCATCTATCTACACAATCTGTACAATTAGAGACTAGGTCAATCACAGGAAGCTAAAAAGGCTACGAATCCACTTAAATGTGATAAAGGTTTCTTCCTCTTGTTCAAACCAGTCAAAACCATGTAATGTGATCAATGTTTCCAAGAGAATAACCTTCAGCAGCAACATGTAAGATGTGATGTCACTGGACACAGGCACTAATTTCTATCGGCAAGTAACAGTTTAGCCATTTTGCACTTATGCAAACACACACCCACACGCACACACACGCGCGCACGCACACACACGCGCGCACACACACACACACACACACACACCCCCACCCACGCGCACGCACACGCACAAACACACACGCACACGCACACACACACACACACAATATCCCTGTGTAATTAAAATATCCCTCTTTATTTTCCACAATGATTTCTATCTGTGCTCGATACTCATTTTAGTCTGACCTTTTCATACTGAAGAGAACAATACGGTTAATCTCCTCTTTGTCCCTTATGTCCTCTTTTTTTTTTTTTCTCAACTGTTCTCATCCAGACACAGATGCTCTCTGATACAAATGCTGTCAAATATAATTATATCATCTTAAATGCCTAAGATCACGGAGTCACGCATGTCACACGCACCTCCTCTGTGACTAGTTCGTCTGTCTTGACCCACATGATTCGGTAACCTTTAACTCCGCTGGGTGCGGGGTCCCAGCTGATGTGGGCGGAGTTATGGGTGATGTCAGAGAACTGGAGGTTACTGGGAGGACTCAATGGTACTGAAGGGAGAGAGAGAACAAATGTTTGATGTGTGTTAATATGCATGAACGGGTTTGAATTTAAGACCCTTGAGAGTGAGAACATTTTTGGAGAGAGGGGATGTTTTTGTCCAACCCTGACTTCTGCACAGGGCTGTTTTGACTTGTTCTGACTTGTTTTTACAGCTAAGGTTAGAAATAAATTTAGGTTAAGGTTAGAATAAAAGTTTGAGAATGAGGGCTCTCATAAGGGCACAGGATAAAAACAGTATGTGTGCATGGGAATTACTCACATGTAGTTTCCTGGTTTGTAGTAGGGTCACTGGCTTCCTCTCCATACATGGCATAAACAGTGACGGTGTATTCAGTGTGAGGGATCAACCCATCCAGCTCCAGCTCTGTCACTGCATCTGAAACCTTGATCTTTGGACAAATGCACGCATTACAGTATTTAACACGAACATTTGGACTCTCTGTTGCCAAGAAGCTGTTTAAAACTATCAACTGAACAAGCATTTATCTATTCAATATATCTTTATTTCTCTTTTTCTGTCTTTTACTTTCTTTCACTACCTCCTTCTCGTCCAAGTCTCCGTCATCTGTAAGAGGTGTGTAAAGCAGCATGTAGCCAGAGACGCCGTCCACGCTGTCCCATCTTGCTCTCATGGTGCTGTGAGTCACATCAAACAGCTGCAGGCCAGTCACAGTGGGGAGGGCAACTACATACACACACAGGCACGACCACACACAGACAAACACATAGCACAGTTAAATGGAGAAATGATCATTCAAGCAAAGTTGTAAGCAACTGTAACTTTTGTGGAAATGTAAAAAAAAAATCTTATCTTAGTGGATGCTTTTATCTGCCAGCATTATGAATGTATCATTTTCAATATGTCTGGCTTCCATGGCTGTCAAACTTTTAAGTGACTGTTATTAACTTGTGATCTCAGCTGTTGGTGTGAGGTTTTGCAAGCACATTTCTGCATGCATGTTTGTGCCTGAGAATAAACTTACGGGTTGTTTCTGATCCTCTGAGAGCTTCGCTTGCCTCGTTTGCATACACAGCAAACACAGCCAGCTGGTACTCAGTAAGAGAGCTGAGATGCTGCAACACCACTGAAGTTTCACTGCCGTCCACTACAGCCTGGGGTGCAGGAGGGTGAGTCAGGGAGAGGAAGAAGGGGTGTGAAAGATGGATTGGAGGGACAGAGAAGAGAGATGAGGTGTGGAAGTGGATGGAAGGAGGCGGGGTGGGAATAGGCAGGAGGACAAAGAATAGCAGGGGAAATGGAAAATGGGACAATAAATGGGAGAAGATGAAAATGACAAATGGAAGAGGGGAAAAAGAAAAAGGCAGGGCAGGAAAGAGAGATCGAAATAGAATGGGTGAGGAGGGGAAACACAATCGATTTATTGAATAGGATAAAGCACAAATGTCTAACGCTAAAGAATATTTTTCATTCTGAACTGAATGGATGACAGTTGTGATACAGATTAGATGTGGGCTGAGCCAGCTGGAAAGGTCTCCTCACACGCTGCTCCAGAACATCTGGTCCCTGTAAACCCAGCTAAGCAAAAGATTTAATAGTTTCTGTGGTCAAATGTTCTGGAAAAATCAAGCAGGTGCCTGGATCAGCCAGGGTATCATTTCTTGTGAGCCTTCATTACCTGCACGGATGTTGTGGGGAGTTGTGAATGGAGGGATGAGAGAGAGGGGTACGGATGAATGATACCACCAGCGTCTCGAGGCAAAACTGAACTTCAAACTACAGACCTGGCAGAGGACCCTGGATAGCTCCCACTGGTGTTGTAAATATAATGGAAAAGTAGAGTGTACCCTGGCCTAAACCCACCTCTCTGTTCTCTTACTGAGGGTCTTGACCTCAGTATTTTTTAGTGTTTGCTTATGCTTCTAAGAGTTTGCATGTATAGCTTTCACATAGCAATGAAGTAGCATTGACTTTGTTTGTACTGTTCGTTTCCTCCCTCAGCTTTTCCTGATTCAATTTAAACAAAAGCACATTTTCAGTACAATCATTCTAGTGATGTTCACAGCAAAGAAAAAAAAAAAAAAAAAGCTTAATCCTCACCTCCTGTGGTTCTCCTTCCTGAGCGGGATAATAAACCACTCTGTATTTCTCAACATTTCCGGGGGCGTGGCTCCATGAGACCCTGAAGCTCCGGGCTGTGACCTCTGACGTCACCAGGTCAAGTGGCGTTCCGATCATCTCTGGTATCTGCTCTGAAGAAATGAAAGGAGAGGAAAAGGGAAGTATAAGAAAACAGACGGCATCAGATGACATAAAATCGCTCCCAGTGAGGAACTGTTAAGTAGAAAAACTCACATGCATTCAGGATCAGAGTAACGGAGATAGTGTTAAAATGTAATCAAAACACATTAGACTGGATTTATGATGTCCCTTTAATGACATCCTCTTTCTGTGTTTTCCATCCTGTATCTTTATATCCACAGAGGTGGAAACTTATTGGCGGAAAAAGTGAGAAAGAGGAGCAGGATGGAGTGTCCTAAAATAATCAACATTTTGTAGCAGGATATCATTTCCATTTGGCTGCTACATGACCTTATTCCCAATGGAGCAACTTTGCATTAAATACGACCAACTCTGGCCATCCACCATCTCTTATCTAAATATACACGGTTTGATTCACACCAAACAAAACCTGCTTTATCACTGCGGCTGCTGTTTAGCTTGTCATTTCAATGTGACTTTTTATCATCCAATCATTTAAGGATGCATTAAGCAGAACCAAAGTGATCACATTAGACATTGTTGACCTGACTACATACATACATAAGGTTTTAATTGGAATAGTTCATATTGCTTATCTGATGTATATATAGTCATATACTGTATATGACTGCACAGTCTCTCTCCTCACTCTCTGTCTCATTGTCTCCTTACTCTCCTTGATGTCTTTATCTTGCTGCTCCACTTGTTCACACACTTTTCTGGTCAGACCCTCTACTATGGAGCTCATGATGTTGAAGTCGGCCACATTGTAGACATGAGTGTTGTCTGGCTCTGAGGCGATGGAGCGCAGCTCATTCTCATCAGCATTCTTCACACCTGGGAGGACAAGAGCAAAAATATGATTGTTGGTATTTAATGACAATAACAATCTGACTATAGCACAGCAGGGCGGTACGATACAGTTATGTTCAAAGAAACATCATCAATGGGAGACAAGGAGTCATTCTTGAACTCACTGTGGCACAGATGTGAATCTTGTACCCATCCTTACCAATAGCAAACAGCTCAATCCCGGCATTACGTAGACTCTCTGCAGGCGGTATAACATCATCCTGAGACTTCCCATCCGTGATTAGAATCCCAATCTTGGGCACGCCAACACGTGAGCCAGACTCAGGCTTGAAGCAGTTCTCCAAGATATAAGTCAAGGCAAGGCCTGGAAAGAGACAGAGAGAAAGAGAAAAGGGACGAATGAGGAAGATAGAGGCAGAAGGACCAGGGTGGACGGAAGGAGAAAGTCAGGCACAAAGGGAAAAGTCATTTAAGGGAGAAAAAAAGAAGGGTACAAGGGGAGCAAGATGACAACCAAGAAGAAAAAGAGAAACAGATAAAAGCAAAATAAACTGGTAGTATCAGGGAAATGCAGCACCTGTGAGAGTGTTTCCTCCTTTGTACGGCAGGTTCTTGACAGCATCAATGACTGCATCTTTAGTGGAGAAAGCATTTAAATGCCACTCTATCCTGGGATCACCACTGTACTGAGCCAGACCTACAAACACATACATACACACACACACACACACACACACACACACACACACACATTGAATTTACACCTGATATTACAACATGTCATTTGCTTATATTGCTCCTTCAAAGTTAAATACCCAATACAGCCAACATAAAAAGGATAACATTCCTTAGCAAACATGAGGAAATATCTGTACCAGTGTAATTAAAATATATTCACAAACATCAGAGGGCCATATTGTTCCCATGGTCTACCCATCTGTTCAGGAAGGAAAAGTAGCAGGGACTCACCAATCCTTGTCTTATCGATGTCAACATCAAAGGCATTGACCAGGTTTTCCAGGAACATGCGGACCAGGCGGAAGTTGATCCGACCGATACTCCAGGAGCCGTCCACCAGGATGACGATGTCTGCAATGGCTTCAGTGTGGCACACAAACTGATCGACTGGATGAAGAAGAGAAAAGAGGACAACCGGGTCAACGGATAGCCTTGACTGTCTCTGTGATGGTAACACAAAATACTCTTTAGAGAAGAGAGGAGAGATGAGAAGAGATTTAGATTGTAAGTGACATGAATTCAAGTTGACCACAGCTGGGGATAAAGCACTAATGAATAGGTAACTCAAAAATAAGTAACCCCCATTGAAAAAAATAATGATTTTACAATTGATGTTCAGGTTTCTCAGACAAAACTCAATAACACAATAAATGCACACCTCAAGTCGGCAGGTTTCAGGTTGTCTTTATTGAACAAAACACAAACTGTAAACCAAACAGCCAGAAACAGAACATTAAACACGTAAAAAGATACTGTATTCTTTGAATGGCACAGCACAATGACATGATGTGAACATTAGTCGACCGCCAAAGCTCTCACATATACTCACATTTTTTTTTTTTTATCTTGCTCCAAAAACATGAATGTGAAATGTGATGTAAAAATAGCGTCCTGTGAGCCTCATTTGAACTCTGCAGTGCTTTTACCCGTAGGTCTCCTGACCTCTTCTTCTTGGAAATAATCTCTGTACAAGTTGTTGCAAAAAGTGACTCACTCTTCATGAGAAAGACATTTTTAAAGTGAAATCTACGCATGAAACCTCCCACCTGAAAGTAATAGAGGATAAATAGGAGCCCGTATTATCAAGAGTCACACCCACACACTCTCGGATTAGCATAAAAACACATGCAAAAAATACCAGATGTACAGTATATGTTCACAAATACAACACTCTCAACATCTATATTGTGATGCAGTGCACATTAAAGATACAACTACAGATCTCTCTCTCTCTCTCTCTCTCTCTCTCTCTCAGACACACAGGCACACACATTTCCACGAGGTCATTTGTCATAATTCCATGCTCAGCTTGTCATCCTGCCCAGTTTCATATCCAGAAAATGAATACATCCACTTTTGTTGCATCATAAATCCCTTATCTGTCTTCAAACGTAATAGTGAATAATCCAGAACATGCTGGTAAGGTTGGACATTTGTGTCTAAATGAAGCAAAGCAATAAAAGAGAACGCTGACTCAAGGAAAATCAATTATTACCTTGCATTTTTGTTCAGTATAGCACATTTAAAAGATTAAGATTAAAGACTGTGGAGTGATACCAGGGAGTGCAGTTTTTTTAAGATTTCCATTAGGACAAGAGAGTGTAAGGTTCAATTTCTCACTCTGTTCTAACAACAGATGTTAGTTTAGTGGCTCAGGTGCACACTGGGTAATTGCAATGGCTTGGGTTAGTCCCAAGACCTTTGTTCCAATTCTGCTTCCCTTGTCTTCCCCTTTTGGTACGCTGCCAATTATCAACTGTAAAAATATGCAAAACAGGAGAAAGTGCTATTTGGCGGCAAAAAGAAAATTTCTTTCCCAGTCTTATGAGTAGTTGTCAGAAAGCCCCACCAGCATGAAAAAAATGCAATGTAAAACAAGAAATCCTTTTATCTTCATTTTTATTTTTGCCTGAAAAATACATGTAACATTTACTCTACCTCTTGTACTATTTGTATTATTATCTCAGGCCAACACTATCTCAATCTTGAAATTCATAACAGACACGCTGTCTGATGATAAGCCACGCAGGTATTCGTTTCAAGGAGTGATTTTCCAGACAGAGCCTTCTGTCTGCTGTCTGTGTCTGTCTGACTGTTTGAACCATCCATCTGCTACAGACGGCAGACGAAGGAGAGAAGAGAAGACAACAAGGTCAAGAGCGATAGCTGATGACAGTCTTTGGTTTGCAAATGTAATGTAATGTAATGTAAAACTGAGACGCTAACTCCTCAAACTCCTCAGGTAAAGCTTTTGAAAAAGCAAAGATAATTAGTACACTGATCAGCCACAACATAGAAGAGAAGAGAAGAGAAGAGAAGAGAAGAGAAGAGAAGAGAAGAGAAGAGAAGAGAAGAGAAGGGTTGTAGCTTAGTTTGGGAGTTTCAATAAATGGCAAAAGGCTGAGAGGCCAAAGAGTGAAAAGAAGATTCTTTGTAGAGCCTCCCTTCTTACAAAACAAACAAGCATGGCCTTTAAAGAAACTCTTAGGTTAAAGAATAGAAAGAACGAACCATAACTAATCACCAGAGAGGCTTTTTTAAAAGCACACACACAAAAACACAGATCAACTGAGAAGCTGTTCTGTGATAAAAAAGCGAGAGACATTCAGAGGGTATTAGTATCTATAGTAACTGCTGTTGACACTGGTTAAAACCAAAGACGAGGATCTTAATGGTTAAAGATGAAAGAGTCGGAGAGGGAGAGTTGAGTACTGTGCAATGTGAAAAGCCATCAAGATTGACGAGGGAGATTGTAAACAGAGGATTAGAGGGTCGGTAATTACAGCTAATTGCAGCTCGCTGGCCATTCCCGAATCTTCTGTTGGCAGGGTGGTGGGAACGTCCTTCAACTCGGCAAACACCGGTGTTTTACATCTGAACCAATAATCAAGGTCGTCCCCTCTCCCTCACATTATCCCTGCCAACCTCTGTTTAGTTTAGTTGGATATGAGGGGTCGTTTCAGAAGAAATCATTTGCTGCCATTTAGTCTTGTGCAGTTTGAGAAACAACTTCCATAATCCATAATGTAGACAATCCATCTCAGTAAACATGAAACCTTGAGACAAAGTTGGGCTTTACTGTTATTTCACCGTGCCCAGGTTGTGCATTTTCTCGGGTCAGTCACCCAATAGGACAGAAAATGAAAAATCAATCACCTTATGAACGTAAGTGCATTTGTTATAAGACTTTTTTTATGTGGGTAGTAGTTCATTTCAAGCAACACTGGATTTAATGTAAGGTCTGTGTTTCGTAATGAAATACTAGTGGGATTGCATGCTTTGCAAGTTTTATTGAGTTGTGTTACTTAGTTGTAAAGTTGTGATTCTAAGTGACGCTGGTGGTCTGATCTGAGATCCTTAAGCAGCTGCTCCGCTGAAGTGACAGGAGGAGCTAATTTGTCATACGTTGCTTTCACGTCATTCTTTTGTCTCTACTATCGACACTCATAATCAAAACTGTCCAATACCAATCATGTTCTCATTTTGATACTACTAGGAAATTTGTTGTACTGCACAGACTGTACGTGTTCATCGACTGCGTGCATTTTTTCAATGAATCAGTTGAAGCCGCCTCTCAGTACTTTATTTAAGCCTAGTTCCAATATTGACAAACATTTAGAGAAAAGATGCATCTCACTAACCCACTAATCAACAACCCATGGCAACATAATGGACTTTACACACAAATATAATGAAGAATTTACAAATAGCAGCTGCAGACAAATCCTGATCCTGTGTCACACTTTCTACAGGTGCAGAGCACAAGACGAAATATCAAAGTCTGTCAAAGTTTTACATCACATCATGGAATAGAACGATTTCCTCCATCTGCAGAATCTTACTGTCACATATTTAGTAATCAATCAACTGACAATTTTTACAATTAAATTTCCTCAGCGTTTTGGAAAATAAAACCACATTCACATCAGAATCACCTCTGCAAACATGTCGCAGAGAGACAGGAAATCAAATCCATGCATGCATGGTCCTACACATGCGCATGATGGTGTTTCCCTCCCAACAATGAATGTCATAGAGAATGCCTCTAGTATCTTACTACTGTAATTGCTATTGAATCCCTCCTCTCTGCTCTCGGCCCAAGACAACAGCAGGCTGGTCAAAGGTCCCTCTGCTCCTCCTAAGCCCCATCTGCCTTTCTTCTTCTCCTCCTCTTCTCTACCTCTTTCCCTCTTTTCTCTTCCCATCTTAAAGCATTTGCTGCAGGTCAAAGAGCAGCTACTGGGGAACAGTGAGGGAACTGTGTCTGTGTGCCCACATGAGAAAGAGAAAAAGTGTGAAAGAAAAGAAGAGAAACAAGTGAAGCAGGAATAAAGAAAGACGGTGAGATGGCAAAACCCTGTATTTGGGTTTGATGAAAAACCGCAGATATATTGACAGATTCTGTAGTGCCAAGTCTTTCCTTTGTCCAAGTATACAATTACTCCTGTTCCTCTCTGCCTCTGTCTTCACTCCTCTACCTCACTCTGTCCATCTCTGTGGTTAACTAATAAGAGACAGGCTGTCTTTGGCACCAAAATCTGTCTTAAACACTCCACTAAGTAAAACAAACTGCCATGGCAGAGCACAAGACATGTCAGTCTGTACTATAATGTGTGTGTGCTCTTGTATTCCTATTCATCTGGGGACCAAATGTGTATTTGTGGATAAAAAGAGTTATGGAAATCCTATCAAGTGGTGACATATTCACAGTCTTAATTTCTTAACAGGGGGCGCCTCTGTGGCTCTCCTGGTAGAGCGCGTACCACATGGACTTAGTCCTAACCGCAGCGGCCATGGGCTCGATTCCGACCCACGTCCCTTTGCTGCATATCATCCCCTCTCTCTCTCTCTCTCTCTCTCTCTCCCTGACTTTGCTGTCCATCTGTCACTGTACTATCAAAAATAAAGGCAAAAAAGTGCCCAAAAATATAACTTTAATTTCTTAACAGGCCCTTTAAGAGTAGAGGTGTCATGGTTAAGGTCAGATTTGATGTTAGGATAAACATAAGAGTTAAAGACACACTTGCTAACATTTAGACTTACTTGCACACACCGTATTAGTCTTGGGTTATGACATATCTGTACCTGAATAATCTCCCAAATCTCTGCATGGGTATTAAATTTACTGTATCAGCCTTTTTAGTTCCACTAGCAACTGACATTTTCTAAATTCGTGCAGTGCTGCTACTGTCGTAGAGCTTGGCTAGGTTTCTTGTCTCTGCTGGATAGTGTGTTGCAACTCAGCCAGCTATTGGAACTGAAGCCCAAGTTTCACTCAACCAAACGGACGTCTTGGTGAACACGACAGGAATCGAGTATTTAAGCTTTACTTGTTTACCATGTTGCAGTGACTTTCACTATGGAAACTAAACTAAACATGTTTTCAT